ACAGGTCAAAGGCTAGAGCTACCCAAAACAGAGTAATCATCTGGCGAAGTGAAGTGTCACACTGCTCCTTAAATCCCCTGGACCGTGATGACAGGATTATCTGCAGCTGGTGGCTCTCAGACACACCCACCTGAAACAATGCTCAGAGAAAAACAGGTTACATGCAGGAGGCTCCCCACGGACCGTGACACTGACATCACTGTTATTCTTCTGAAAACAAAGTATTGCTTACCTATTTATGCATTAACGCTGCAACAAAGCTTCAAAGTGGCAAAAATACCTCTACACACACCTGACTCACACCACAGATGTATGTGTGTGTGTGTGCTGGGAGCAACTTCAGTGACTAGTGTCAGCATCAACAACTGTTTACACCCTTAACACAAGCAGGAATGTTTTCACATGCAGCCTGACGCAAACAGAGCTAACACACCTCTGGAATGTCTCAAGTAGACGTCAGACCCATTTTGGTTCTGGTAGATTACTGTAGGAGATGCATCACAAAATCCCCTGCTGATCATAAATCCAGCATTTTTCCAGGTATGGGAATTCCCCATTCCTAAAACATAATTTGCACAAGTAATAACAAATCTGGAATTATTGTTGTCAGCTTGATCAGAATAGAAAAGAAATCATTAGTTCTTCTGATAAATCACAACACAAGGCTCTCCTGAACGGGCTACCAGTCTGATAGCAAGCGTACTGCGCATTCAAACATCCCATGTGTGTGTGTGTGTGTGTGTGTGTGTGTGTGTGTGTGTGTGTGTGTGTGTGTGATTTCATTGTGTACATCTGACTATAAACACCCTTTAGCTGAAACCCATCACAGCTGTCTCCCTTCTACTTCCTTTCTCACATGCTGTCATATGTTGTTGCTCCTCCCACCTCCAGGCTGTCATATTTGCGTTCCGACATGAGCGTTTCTACAACGTCTGTTTATACGAGTTGCACCTTAAAAATAGCCTTCAAGCCACGTGATGTTTGTCCTGCAGATCAGGAGAAACACATGAGTCCTCCACAGCTTCTTACTCACATGTAACATCAGGAGGTGTTAGTGATGCTAACAGAGAGACAAGCTGAGGTTGACAAAGCAGGTCACAGTAACTTTTTGTAGACGTTAGTCGTTGATTTATTTAACAGGAAACACTCCCAGTGAGGAGAGCAGCGTGTTTTCAGACACGAGTCTCTGAAGTGGAATGAAGCTTCAACGATCAAACCAGAGTAAAAATGTCTGATGCACAGAGAGAGAGAGCGAGAGAGAGCGAGAGAGAGAGAGAGAGCGAGAGAGAGAGAGAGAGAGAGAGAGAGAGAGTAAGTCATCTGACAGCGTGGACAGGAGTCATAGAGAGAGAGAGCGAGAGTGGACATGCAGCATTGCATAAGTCGTCTGACAGCGTGGACAGGAGTGACGCATGACTGATCGGAGGGCAGGCAGCAGTTAAACAGTCACCATGGATCAAGCTTTTGTTTACATTCGAACACGCTGGATTAATGTTAGCAAATTAGGTCAATATTCCACAGATGAATCAGAAATGGAGCTGATGTGATTAACTTATTCTAAGAATCAGAACATAAACTAACCCCAGGGTTAACATGGACAGATGCTGCACCGCAGACTTAATTTATTTATTAAAAAACAATTATTCTTTATTATGAATTAGTATTTTTTTCCATTAAGGATTGATGGTATGGAGCAACACTTCTCATCAAGAGAAAATTATCAGGTTCATTTGACAGGATTGAGGGTTATAGAGGATAAGAACATCATGGAGATCAAAACAACAAAATCAAAGATGCAAAAAGCTGAAATAAAATGCAGACAAACAGCAGAAAAAGAGAAGAAATGAAGGAAATGTAGCTTAAATGCTGCTGATAACATCACAGCCATTAGCAGCTATGGCACCACTTATTTAGCTGTTTCTGTGACTCCTAACAGCAGATCTTCTCTTTGGCTTTTAGATCAAACTGAACAGAAAGAGCTCAGCTGAAGAAGAGTTTAATGATAGATGTTAGACTGAATCCTTACTGGGGTTTAGACACTCAGCTCTAAAGTCATAAATCAACCCGATGCTGCTAAAGTCCATCTAGGTGCTGATAACAGTAATCTCTAAAACAGTCAGAGTTTGCCTCCTCTGCCTTCTGGTGATGGTTTAGCTCCACAGCAGTAGCTCAGGAGGTAGAGCAGGGTGTCCAGTAATCGGAAGGTTGCAGGTTTGATCCCAGCTCTGACCAGAGAATGCTGCTATTGTGTCCTTGGGCAAGACGCTTAACCTGTCTTACCTGCTGGTGGTGGTTGAGGGGACCGGTGTAGCTAGTGTACGGCCGACCTCGCGTCTGTCAGTGCGTCCAGGGCAGCATCATAGCTCATCGTCACCAGCATGTGAGCGGGTGAATGACGGATTGTGTCGTAAAGTGCCTTAGGGGGTTGTGAATCCCTAAGAAATCACTATACAAATGCAGACTATTTACAAGCCATAGCTCACTATTGCTGAATTAATTTTTTAATAAGGGGCTGAAATCTACCCATAAGTGACATAAAGAGCTCCTGTGTTTAGTGACACAGCCATGTATGAAACCAAACACCTCCATTGTCTTCATTTGCAGATGTAATCTCATTTGTGGACTTGTTTTTATTTCTGTTGTGTATAAAGTTGGTCTACACTAGCCTCCTGTAAGCCCGCTGCTCATACAGGACCCCGGCTTTTCTACATTTTCATATTTTGTTATTTGTATTAATTTATTTTAACTGGCAATTCAAATAACTTTAATTTTTATTTTAACTGGTCAAATGCAGTGTTAGGGGCTGCGCAGTGGCACAGTGGTTAGAGCTGTTGCCTTGCAGCAAGAAGGTCCTGGGTTCGCTTCCCAGCCTGGGATCTTTCTGCATGGAGTTTGCATGTTCTCCCGGTGCAGGTGTGGGTTCTCTCCGGGTACTCCGGCTTCCTCCCACAGTCCAAAAACATGACTTTTAGGTTGATTGGTCTGTCTAAATTGTCCTTAGGTGTGTGTGTGTGATTGTTTGTCCTGTGTGTCTCTGTGTTGCACTGCGATGGACTGGCTCTCTGTCTGGGGTGTACCCCGCCTGATTGCCCATTGACCGCTGGAGATAGGAACCAGCACCCCCCCCCCCCCCCTCTCTCTCTCTAGAGGCAGAGAGAAGGAATAAAAGTAGAGCTAGTAGTGAGATTAATGATGAAATACTATAATTTCTCCTAAACCTGACCATATTTGTTTTGGTCTTTTCATATTATTGTTACTGAGTTTTTATATGAAGAGCATTCTTACTTACAACACCTAAACACTGAGCTATGAGCTTGCTGTAGCTGTAGCATCCTGTACTTCCTTCTCTGTAATCTAAGTGTGATCAGACATGGATTATTTAAAAGGGGACAAAAGTCAACCTCTAATTCACATTTTCTTTTTTGTTCACAAAAATTTCTGAATTTATTTCAGTTATTTCTGGTCTGTCTGCCATTTAATTCTTTCTTAAAGTTTCAGCTGCACTCTCCTACCAGTGGTGCAGCCCTTAATCTCAGATTAGGACTTTCACCATGCAGCCTGGGTGAGCACCGGGCCTAAAACACAGGACGATCAGAATGAAAACAGCTCTTATTGGGTAATCCTGAATGGGTGGATCTGCTGTCAACAAACAAGCGCTACCATGGCAACAGACCTGGGTAAAGATGCTTTCTCACGCTGATACACACACCGATTTTAACACTTGCAGATAAAACTTCACAGACCCCAAAACAACCCAGAGGCACAGTTGTGTAGGTAGTCAGCGAGGGCAGAGCTAAAGATTTAGTATTCCTGTATTTTAACTTTCTGGAGAACATCTGACGTCATCGGGCTTTGATGACCAACGTGCTCATTCCTGATCCCTGCTTGTCTGTATTCATGGTGATCTTATGCCTTAATCATCAGCTTCCTGACTGATGTTTCAGCATGTAGATTCATGTCGGTGTTCAGGGAGGCTTCCAAGAACAACTTCAGTGATTTTGAGAAAAAGTGAAAAGAGGGAGAGCTTCTGAAATCAAGCAAACATGCTTAATTTCTGTTTTTTTTTTTTACCTGAAATTGTAATATTAGAGGAAAATAACCAAACACAGTTTACAAAAAGGCTTTCAGACCAACCGGGCCCAGGTTAGTTTAGCTCGATTTTAAATAGTTTTTTTGCTCTTTGAGTAACAGTCGTGTGCTAACGCAGCAGCTAATGCAGAAAAACCAAACACTACAAGAACATAAAGCCTCAGAGGTCAATGTTATGAGTGTTTACATAGTTTTTTTTCTGTTTAAAATAAATTTATCATTTAGTCCAAAATAAACTCCAAAGCTTGTCGAAAACAGAAAAAAACAACCTAAAATATGCTAACTTGCACTATTTCCTGAGTCTAAAAGTCTCCTCTCTGTGCAGTTTGAACATGTGACAACATCCCCTCCCCCTTTATTTTCTCTTTGTTTTCTCTTTTTTTCTGCACACACGCACGCACACGCATGCACGCACGCACGCACACACACACACACACACACACACACACACACACACACACACACACACACTTGTTGGCAGTCTAGATTCCTGAGCAGTGAGTCTATCAGGCACACCCAGACTGCTGCAGCAAACCCTCGTCTGCCTCTTCACTGCCTTTTCAAACCTTCAGGTCTTCCTCCGCTTAAACTCTTCCTGCCTTCTTGCATGTTATCAACCCACAACATCCCTCCTCTCTCTCTCACACACACACCCGCACGCACACACACGCACACACACACAGCTCAGCCTGACCAAGCCCAGTTCTTCTTCTTCTTCTTCGTGTTTATTGGCGGGTGGCATCTAACTTCTAGGTGCATTTCCGCCACCAAGCCCAAAGTTTCTCCTAGAGCTGGTTTATTCAGTTTTTCCTGCAGCAGTGGGCGGGTCACTTCACCCCAGCCTGTCCAATCCGACTGAGCCTGCTCTGCAGGCCTGTGGATGAAGAGGAGGAGCCTTTTCTGGGTTTTTAGGAGGGCGGAGCACAAGTTTTTCACCACTAGGCATGTATGCCCTTGTGTTTGTGTGTGTGTTTATGTGTGCTTGTGTGTGCATGGGGTTTGCTTGACACTCAGAAGGAACTGGAGCGAGAGATCAGGTTCCTAGGAGAACATCTTGTTGGAAAAAACAGCAGCAGAGGGGAGAGCCACAGTCAGACCGATGGTATGTATCTGGGTGTTTCTGGGCTCTGAGTGAGTGCCTACGTGGAGAAGCTTCCTGTTTGACTGATACCTGTCAAATCTAACGACTACCTGTTCAGATCATAGCTTCAGCTGTTTCTGTTCGACTTGACACATTTGACCAGCAATCCTGCAGGTTATGGGGCTCAACTTTGGTTCTTTTTGCATGTCAAGTGGAGGAAAGTTTTCTTTGAACTGAAGATCAGGCTGCCGTGTCGCTGCTACTTGCGTGGATTCCAGCTATTGCCAGGGTAACAACAAAAAGAACATCAACATGAAACATCTGACCTGCTACTTAGTTTCCAACAATAGCTATGACTCAACAAGCTGAGTGGTGCACTCAAATATAGCACAAGCACTGCAAAATGAAACTTTAGAGCTCCTTTTCCCGAGTAAGAGGCACCTATTTTAGGTCAGAAATGAAGCTGCAGAACAGAAAGTTGGATCTAAAACTGTAATTAAACGAATAAATAGAATTGCATCAGCTCTGGGAGTCTAGATCAGCAAGTTTAACTCTTGTCATTCGTTGGTCAGTCTGTTTCTCACCTATGTTCTCACTCACAGAGAGATTATTCATCCCAGATTTGGAAACTCATCTGTTCTTCTCTTTCATCATCGTCTCTGTTGAGGTGATTCACATCATCCCTCCTGACCCTCCAGAAAGCCACCAGGGTTGTTTAAAGCAGAGCTAGCGGTTAGCTCAGGAGTCTGTAGCGTCGGGTGGGGCAATCCATTAGTCATCAGTTTTTATAAGAGGGCTGAGCTTTTAGCTCTGCTGCTGGAGGAGGTATTAATATTACAATGTCTATTCATACATGACAGAAACATCATCATGCAGAGCTTTGTCCTAGCGTTTCATACTTGTGCACTTGTGAAACAGGTGACACACCTCAAATGGTTCAGCTGCACGTTAGAGACGACTTGCAGTCCAAAATGTTTTTAAATGGCACATCCCCTCTGTTTAACTACAGGGCCAGGCTTTTCCAGTCATGTGATGGGAATACTGCCTTCTCCAAAAGCGGTTGTTGATAGAGCATCCTCTCATCAGCTGTGTTGTCCTCTGCAGCAGCTCTGTGGATCTGTGTGCATTTATGCAGCATTTGTGCTTGTTGAAGCTAAGAAATACATTAAATTGATGGTTTAGATGAACGAGGTGGACAGTCTGGCTTTAAACAAGCAACCAGGAAAAAAATGCTGTAAAAAAAAATCAACACGACCACTTTAATGTTAGTTTTTCTCTTTGCAAATATAGTTTTTATCCTTGCTGATTTGGATCAGGTCTATTTAAATGATGGTACTTAAGAGCACAGCAAGTGTTAGTGGAGAGGAGGTTCGTTCTGAAGAATTAGAATATAAGAATTTCTTAAAACAAGAGGGTTAGTGTTTCTGATGGCATGTTTTTTCATTATCATGGAGACAAAAACCAGCAAAGACAGCAGATGAGGATTCTGCAATGAGCTGAGTTTTGGAAAAATGTTTAGACACTTAAGTTGCACACCATCTGAAGTTTGCTCGATTCCTGCAGCTTTTACTTCATGCGACGGTGGCACAGGAGTTAAGTGCTCGCCCCGTAATCGGAAGGTTGCTGGTTCGAGTCCTGCTCAGTCTGTCGCTGTCGTTGTGTCCTTGGGCAAGACACTTAACCCACGTTGCCTGCTGGTGGTGGTCGGAGGGACCGGTGGCGCCAGTGCTCGGCAGCCTCGCCTCTGTCAGTGCGCCCCAGGGCAGCTGTGGCTACATCGTAGCTCATCACCATCAGTGTGTGAATGTGTGTGTGAATGGGTGAATGACTGATTGTGTTGTAAAGCGCCTTGGGGGGTTCCAGGACTCTAGAAGGCGCTATATCAAATACAGGCCATTTACCATTTACCATTTAAAGATAATGCCCAGAAGATTTTCCTGCCATCAGTCTTTCTGGACAAGTCACAACAACTATTTAATCAAAATCAGAAATGACATCACTTGAACATCTTTAAACGTAAATATACTGCAGACCAAAGACGACAAAAGCAAACCCTCAGGTTCTATTAGATCTCCTCTTCTTTAATTGCATTTGTGGTGAAATTTAACATTTAGATGGTATTGAGTTACATTAATATTTAGAACATTTTTGTTATTTTTATTCAAGTTTGTCATAACTGGAACTGTGTTAAAGAACAGAGGTAGGGTGCCACTTAGTTGTGGACCAAACTTCAGTTCAATTAATCATGTTTACTCCGATGCCTGCCCCTGATGGATTAAGCATAAAATTGCTTTGGATGACAGTGAAACCCTGTCACTTTTACATGGGGAGCTTTAACATCTTCATTGGTGGACGTCTGATTATTACCTCCAGCTGCAGAGAAGACCTGAAGAATGTGGCTGTACGAATTTAGAGCCGACAGAAAAGTTTTGTTTGTCCTTTTAGGAACAGGGTTGTGGCTCATGTTTGATTTAAATAATCGTTTATCTTCTTGTCTGCGGAGCTGAGCTTTCACATGAGATTTTTGAAGCAGCTTGTTTGGTTTGTTTTCGTTTTGTACTTCACCTGCCTGAGGTAACAGCCACCCGTCAGGTGTGTCTGAAGTTAGGGCTCAGCCTGGAGGAGAGGCCGTGTGCAGGTTGTACTGAGCGAGAGTAAAATTCCTCCCATGCTGAAGAATTCTGCTCTGCCTTTAGGTGGAAGAGTGATGCTTTCGCCTTTGATGGCGTTTTCGTTTTCTTTGTATCTACTACATCTGCACTCAGCCAGCTGCCTTTTCTCTATAACGTGTGTGTGCGTGTGCATGCGGGATTTTGCATCTGCTTGGGACGGGATTGACTCAACCGGTGATCTGAGGCACTCTGAGGATTTCATTTATTAAACAAGGAAATGCCGACGTGTTTCGGTACCACCATCTTCAGGGCATAAACCTTTATGCCTTGAAGATGACTCACTATGTCACAAAAACTAATGTCCATCTTTTTTTTTTTTTTTTTTTTTTTACAAATTTACAGCCTAACCAACAATAACATCTTAAGGAGACAATTTCAGATGTGTATGTTCAGATTATTTAATATTCTCAATGCTAAATCAATGCTGCACTGATTGTGCCAAAAACAAGTGTCTGGTGTGGATTTAAATAAATTAATTTTGCATATCGATATATGTGATAAGCTGTTTAATTTGAAAAAGTCAGTTTCTACTGCTGATTACAAATAGCCTAATAAGTAACTTACTCACCTGGTTCTAGATGCTGAGATTGTAGCTCAGTAAATGTTCTGCTGCTTGATGCCTGGATAGAAGACGCTGCAGCGTAAACAAGAAAGAGACGGCATAAGATGTCATGCTGTGTTTGTGCAGTGCGATAGGCAGTTCTCACTCCCCGCCACGGCCGCGGCGGTGCCGCCCGCCCGATGTGTCGGACAAAGTTGAAATTTTGCTACACCCACACCTAGCGTTCTTCTAATATACAAATATTAAATTCATATTGTATGCATACTTAAAACTTTATACAAAGTTCATAAAAAGGCTGCAATCATACTCCAAAAACCAGTAAAAAATCTTACATTCTTCATGATCACAGTGAGACTCAACAGGTTTAGAAGACAGTCCCGCCCCCCCTGGTGTCAACAGGTGCCTGTGTGGCTGCAGATATTGTCTCATTGCATCTGGACACGACGATTCAAAAGTAAAATTAATAGGTTAAAGTTATGAGATACTGTATTGTGTATGTAAACAGCTAGCGAGGGTCCGTCCGTGGACCGTGCGTGGCAGGAGAGGCAGTTAGCTACAAGGGAAACGCAAAAAGTTATTTAGCCAAATTTATAAAGTCTACATACCTCTGCTTTGGGCCCGTTTTTATTCTTCCTCCTTCCTTCGCTTTCGGAACGCTGATCCTGATGGCTTAGGTGTTCTTTTCATCGTAAAATATCAAAAGTTTAAATGCGACAACAACAGGATGTCCTTCTACAGTGCTACCCACGCACGTGATCTACGGCACCCTTAACGGTCAAATGCATCGGAGCGGTGGCCCAAGCGGGAGCTCGTCATGCAACCAGATCATTAGAATTTAAATATTGATATTTTAATTTCATGTCATTTCAGAGGGGAATTTTGAGTATGTAGAGGGTGCATTTCATATTACAAACATAAATCTAATAAACTTTTTATTTTATCAGATGGCGCCCCAGGCGGCCGCCTGTGTCGCCTGTCGGCAAAGCCGGCCCTGGGATTGAGGGTGGGAGGAGGGAGAAACAAAGGGGATCTCTTATGTGAATCTGTGTGAGAGGGGTGGGAAACCGACTGCTGTCTGGTTGTTTTTAATATTGTAAAGCGCTTTGAGCTACATTTGCATGAAAAGCGCTTCATAAATAAATTTTGATTGATTGATTGATGCTTTCGCCTTTAGTTGAGGATCTGGAGGGTGAATCTGTGTCATGCTGTGATTAGAATCTTGCAGATTTAACTTCAGAGCTGCTCCCATGAAAGATAATGAAACATCATCCTTACCAACACTGAACTGAGAATTAAAGAGATGCGTGAAAATTTTAATTATCACATGTGCATCAGAATTCTTTCACTTTACCTAGGATTGTAAGGTCTGACTTCCTCTGTTTTTAGGGGATGCCCTGGGTGTTTGTGACCTTGCTTCTTCCTCTGCGGCACTTCCTCCTTTTCACTCTTCTAACAGTTTGTCCATTTATAATGACAATTCTCATAAACGTATGTAGAAAAACAATGTAAAAATGCCTAAGTTACAGCATATTTAGTGTTTAAAATAATGCTGATGTTAACTTTGTCAACAAGGTCAAAAACTCAAGTAATTTAGTTTCTTTTAGAGGGAAAGTCCTCTAAAACGGCCATGAAGTAGAAAGGAAGCAAACCTTTGTGCAAAAACATAACATTTGTATAAACTGTCTTAAAGGAAATCAAACTGTGTCGTAGCTAGTAGCTAGTTTCTGATTGTGGATAGTATGTAGTAGTGACCATCCCACACGTCATTCACACACATGCCTGGCTGAAGCAAAGGGGTTACCTAAGTCAGAAGGATTTTAGTGATTAAAGAGGAGATGAAGGTCATTTGTTGTATGGGGTGCTGAATGCAAAAGAATACTTTCAATTTTTAACAGATATTTTTGACCAGATCTTGCTTAAAATGGTAAAATCAGTTAATAAACCGTCCTGCCTACACCTGTTAAAGGTGAGGTTCACTGTTAACCCGTTTTTTACATGCAGGCTGAATGTGAAAATCGTCTTCTACGCCCATTTACTGCATGAGCCACTGATAGAAAGTAGACGGGGTCAGAAAAAGCCACACAGATCAGCGTCAAATAAAAATTTACATTCATGGATTCGCCCATCTTGACTGTCAACAGGGATGGCTGTTGTGTTAGCATCCAGGAAACAGCAGAGAACGTCTAGTAGAAGCTAACTGTTAGCATTAACAACTCCGCCACACCTTATAACTTCTCCAGGCTTGAGTTATTCATTTTTTTATCAGAGTTGAGAATAATAATTAAGTATCCATATCCTGCCGTTTGTTGCCCCAACCCCTACCTTTGACTCACTTCCGCTTCCTGAAACAGGAGCGCCAGAGCTTCTTTCCACAGAAAAAGGCTCATAAGGCATTCATTGATACTAGAGACCACTGAAAATTTATCATAGGCCTGCTTTAAGCTAAAAATAACAAAATATTAAAACTTTTGTATTAAATTACACATTGATGTTGAAATTCTAAATGTTTTTGTGTAAAATATTTTGGTAACATGTAAGGCCAGACTGCTGTATGATGGAAGCAACCTACCAAAATAAAACCAGGCTACCCTCAAAGACTACAGATGTCAGATCTCTTTATTCTGCTTTTATTTTGGTAAGTTAGTGTCTTTTAACACTTTGAATGTGCAAGTTAGATCCATTTTTAATTTTAAAAAGCCACATTTATGATTTAAACATTTGGACTGAAATGTCTGTGTATATATATATATATATATATATTGTGTGTGTGTGTGTGTGTGTGTGTGTGTGTATATATATATAGATGGATATTAGTTTTAATTGTAGTTTTAAAGTTTACTGCATTGAAATAGCCAAGTGGCAAAAGTTTTTTTTTTTTTTTACACATTAGTGTTATTAGAAATTTAATGTAGCTCTTTATTATTTATGCTTTACTTTATGATCAGCACCCCATATATTTATTTCATTTAATTTTATTTTGTGCCGGAGCTGCAGAAACTTTTCAGTCATAAAAAGTAATTGTAGGCTTAGTCTGCTTGTAACAGATAGGTGGAGTAATGTTCACCGACAGGCTGGGTTAGGTGTTAGAGCAGCACACAATACAATGGGATGGACGTGAAAATAACATTAACCGTCGCATCCTGACATCAGAGGGGTGGAGGTTTCTTTTTGTTCATAACATCTAAAAGAACTGGGCTGGGCCCAGCAGCATGGAGACTGTGGTATGCTCCCAAAATGCAGACGAACACTTGGTTTACTCTGTTTTCACGTGTTCTCATAAATCTAAAATACACTATAGTGCAAAAGTGACTTATTCTGTCACTATAGCATATAGCAAGTGATTCTAGCACTCTTGATTTGAATGTATGAAAACTTTTTTCTGTTGCAGCTTAAATTGATGGATATAACTGATTTTGTCGTCACAGGGTTATTGATGTAACAGTGTAGGTGTTTGTTTAAACGGAGGGTCATTAATTTTATTTTACATTTTAGAGTGAAGAATGACCTCTTTGATCACCCTCCTGTTATCTGTAACTTCCTGAGACAAGATGAAGGTCCAACAGTCTGTTGATTAGGTTACCCCGGTCAGCTGGTTCGGAAGAATTGTGTGTGTGGGTTTATCTGTAACTTCTGGGTGTGCCTTCCTAAATAAAAGGAGCTCCAAGGTTTTGCCTGAGTGTGAGAGCAAACTGACCTCCGTCTCTGGTGTGTATTTGATTTCTCTCACCATTTGCAAAGTATTTGTTGTTGTTTGTTGTTAATAGGATTACAATTTACAAAAATATCAATCTAATCCCTCTGTGTGTGCTCTGAACTTTCTTTGAGGTAATATGGGAGTAATATAAAAATTACCCAACTTAAATAACATAAAAAACAATTGGATTTCATGTCAACCTGCAGTTTATCCTCAGAATGCGATAACAGGCTCCAGATCAAACCCATAACAAGTGATAGATCACATTTGTATGCCAAATCATTTTTCCTGCAGTTCGCTCTTTTATTGCCATACTTTTTATTCTAGTCTAGAGACAGATGGCACATGAACTCGGTGAGCTGAAGTAAATGGGTGCAGCACAGTTAAGACTTTGTGAAAATGCATAAATCCTTACTTTTCGAGAATGCACAAAGCATCTCTGACAAAGAAAATGCTGATCCCCCCCCCCCTCTTATTGTTGATAAAACAAAGATTTTATTTGGTGAAGTCAGTTAAAAACTGATTATTACAATCATCTCTTAGATCTTTGTTTTGAAATGAGCAGCTTTACCCCCCTTCAAAAAAAGGGGGTGGGGTGGGGTGGACCTGACTTCACAGCAAAAGATGCGGTTTGATTGCTGAGTGATGTGATGCATTACAGCACAGCCTGCATACACTTCATTCATGCATTAAAAATGAATACATTAAAATACATTAATCCACCTGCCCTGGGTTAACCTGAGTCTAACGGGAAAAGTGTGTGTGTGTGTGTGTGTGTGTGTGTGTGTGTGTGTGTGTGTGTGTGTGTGTGTGTGTGTGTGTGTGTGTGTGTGTGTGTGTGTGTGTGTGTGTGTGTGTGTGTGTGTGTGTGTGTGTGTGTGTGTGTGTGTGTGTGTGTGTGTGTGTGTGTGTGTGTGTGTGTGTGTGTGTGTGTGTGTGTGTGTGTGTGTGTGTGTGTGTGTGTGTGTGTGAGAGAGAGAGACTTCAGCTGGAGAATATTTAGCGCTAGAGCTCGACATTCACAATCGTCCCTGTCTGTTGCCGTAGTGACACTGGCCACAATAACCATGGTTTTTTTAGCACTTTTCTGTGAAATGGCAGCAGTCACACCCTTCAGCCTGGAATGTGGCACTGGATCCAACCACCTCTTAACTGGTCTGTGATGGTGTGCTTGTCTTGCAGAAGTCTGTTTTCACATTTTGGGCACTTTTTAAATCGATGTCAGCATACTCTTCTCCCCATCCCGATTAAAACTTCATGAAACCCCTCGTCTTTCTCAACTATTATTGTGAAATCAAAATGTTGCCTTATGTGGATCTGTATGTAATTAAGCTGTTTTCTCTCTTTTTTTTTTTTTTTTTGTCTGTGCAGTCGGAGACGAGCCAAGCACCACCCAAACCGGCAGCTCAGGTCTCCACCGTGAAGCCTGCAGAGTTTGAGGTATGAAACCTTCCTTTGGAAGGGTAATGTAACTTCTTGTCACCCCTTTCTCCAGAGGTACGTCCTTCCTAACTGACCCTGACCACCTCCTTCATTCCTTCCCTGCTTCATCCCTGGGTTCTTTCTCACAACACCAACATCTTCAAGGGAACTTGTGAGATCAGACTTTGTTATGAATCCTGTAATACCAAAGAAAATGTTCCTTTTCCTTCTAATCACACACAGGAAAATCCAACAATACCTGTGGAAGCTGCTCTGAAACTCTGAGCCAGATCATAAATGTTGTACATTAGACTGAAATAGTTCTCAGATGTTTACAGCTTTAAATAAAAGGTCAAGTAAAGCCCCAAATCCTATTAAATTACATACACTGTCCAGCCCCCCCAAAAAGTCGCCACCTGGATTTAACTAAGCAGATAGGTAGGAGCCTTGATTGGATGATCACTGCATGGACAACAAGTTAATTAACCCCAACTGGTGCAATGTGTTGCATCTCATTTCTTAATCAACCATGTGGAAAGACACATCAGGTGGTCTTGGAAAAGATGTTAGTCTGTTTGAAAGATAATTGGCATGCATCAAGCAGAGAAAACATCAAAGATGATTGCAGAACCGACTAAAACTGGGTTGAGAACTGTCCAAAACATTATTAAAAACTGGTCTGATGAGTCCAGATGGACCCTGTTCCAGAGTGACGGTGCATCAGGGTAAGAAGAGAGGCAGATGAAGTGAAGCACCCATCATGCCTAGTGTCTACTGTACAAGCCTGTGGGGGCAGTGCTATGATCTGGGCTTGCTGCAGTTGGCCAGATCTAGGTTCAGCAGCAGGGTGTGCTCCAAGAATGAGGTCAGCTGACTACCTGGATATGCTAATGGTCCATCTTCCCTGATGGCACCAGTATTTTCCAAGGTGACAATGCCAGGATTCATCTGGCTCAAATTGTGAGAGTTTATTCTGTTTATACGAACTTTCAGACAGTCTGTACAAAGCTGTAGTACCAGCCAGATGGTTTAGTCCTGTCAACCAACAATATGGAGCTTAAGTCATGCCCAAAAATGAATGCAAGTCAATGGGACTATAAAAGCTATTTTCTATTTGCATTTGATGTGCGCCTTGAATATCACATATGATGTCCGTGAATTTTAAAGACACATTTTGATGCCAAGAAAGAGCAGATTTTTGAACGACGGCAAAAGTTATTTGAAGGTTGTGTGCTGCTGACCTCTACTCAGGACGTTGTGGATCAGTGGGCAGAATACTTCGAAGACCTCCTCAATCCCACCAACACGTCTTCCAGTGAGGAAGCAGAGTCTGGGGACTTTGGGTAGGCATCTCAAATCTTTGGTGCTGAGGTCACTGAGGTGGTTAAAAAGCTCCTCTGTGGCAAGGCTCCAGGGGTGGATGAGATCCGCCCGGAGTTCCTTAAGGCTCTGGATGTTGTGGGGCTGTGTTGGCTGACGCAGCTCTGCGATATCGCGTGGACATCGGGGGCAGTCCCACTGGACTGGCAGACCGGGGTTAAAAAGGGGGACCGCAGAGTGTGTTTCAACTACAGGGGGATCACACTCCTGAGCCTTCCTGGTAAGGTCTATTCAGGGGTTCTGGAGAGGAGGGTCCGTCGGATTGTTGAACCTCAGATTCAGGAGGAGCAATGTGGTTTTCGTCCTGGCCGTGGAACTCTGGACCAGCTCTTTACCCTTAGGGGGATCCTGGAGGGTGCGTGGGAATTTTCCCAACCAGTCTACATGTGTTTTGTGGATTTGGAGAAGGTGTTTGACCGCATCCCTCGGGGGGCCCTGTGGGGGGTACTCCGGGAGTATGGGGTATCAGGCCCTCTGATACGGGCTGTTAGGTCCCTGTATGACCGGTGTCAGAGCTTGGTCCGCATTGCCGGCAGTAAGTCGGACTCGTTCCCAGTGAAAGTTGACTCTGCCAAGGCTGCCCTTTGTCACCGATTCTGTTCATAACCTTTATGGACAGGATTTCTAGGCGCAGCCGTGGTGTGTAGGCCATCTGTTTTGGTGGCCTGAGGATCAGGTCTCTGCTTTTTGCAGATGATGTGGTCCTGTTGGCTTCATCAGAACTTGATCTTTAGCTTTCGCTGGAGTGGTTCGCAGCCGAGTGTGAAGCAGCTGGGATGAGAATCAGCTCCTCTAAATCTGAGACCATGGCCTTGATTCGGAAAAGGGTAGAATGCCTTCTCCGGGTCAGGAATGAGGTCCTGCCCCAAGTGGAGGAGTTTAAGTATCTCGGGGTCTTGTTCACGAGTGAGGGAAAACTGGAGCGTGAGATCGATATAGGCGGATTGGTGCTGCATCTGCAGTGATGCGGGTATTGTCTGTCGTGGTGAAGAGAGAGCCGAGTCAGAAGGCGAAGCTCTCGATTTACCGGTCGATCTACGTTCCTACCCTCACCTATGGTCATGAGCTTTGGGTAGTGACCGAAAGAACGAGATTGCGGATACAAACAGCTGAAATGACTTTTCTCTGAAGAGCGGCTGGGCTCTCCCTTAGAGATAGGGTGAGAAGCTCGGTCATCCGGGAGGGGCTCGGAGTAGACCCGCTGCTCTTCCACATCGAGAGGAGCCAGTTGAGGTGGCTCGGGCATCTGGTCAGGATGCCTCCTGGATGCCTCCCTGGTGATGTTTTCCGGTTATGTCCAACTGGGAAGAGACCTAAAGGTAGACCCAGGACACGGTGGAGGGACTATGTCTCTCACCTGGCCAGGGAAAGCCTTGGGGTTCCCCCAGAGGAGCTGGCCCAAATGGCTGGGGAGAGGGAAGTCTGGGCCTCTCGCCTTAGGCTACTGCCCCCGCGACCTGACTCTGGATAAGTGGATGAAAATGGATGGATGGATGGATGGACATTTAAACTTAATAGCAATTGTTTCTCTTTGTTCTTCATTACATTGTTTGATTTAATTTTCAACACATTTCTTTAGCAACCTTTAACTTGTGACAAACCACACACCAATGTAGGACCTTACGTTTACTTCAACGATGAAAGAATATCATTTAGCAAAGAAACTGCAGCTTATTTGTATAAAACAGTGGCTCTAAATTAGTGGGGTGCGGCCTCCCAGAGGTGTACAAGGGGGACACTGTGGGAATGGTGCAAATGGGGCATGGTCAATTTCCACGCTTGGTTGAGGTGCAAGTATTGGAACTGGGCCAAAGACAGTGAGACGTCCCTTAAAAGTGCTCAGAGTGAAGGAGAAAAGGTTTGCTTCCTGGAGCTCATCACGGTTGTTGTGATGCTTGTCTTTACAGGTTTAGATGTTTTCAAGCTAGCTTATACTTAAAGCTTTCTTCGTAGTACACCACTCAGACATTCTTCATCATCGATTGTTTAGCAGATGTTTACAGAAGTAAGTGAAGCCAGCAGGTCCAGACACTGATCCAGTTGGAGAAAACCCTCTTGGAAGAGAAGTTCAGGTTGTGCCAAGTATAGCTAGCTTGTTTTTCTACCAGTTTTCCTTCACTCTCTACCCTTTTCCTGATTAACTTAGTAATAAATAGACAAAATCTTGTGTACAATCCCTGAATAAACAAAGCATCCTAGAATCTTATGATTAAATACAGTAAAGACCAAGCAGATTGATATTCTATATTTATACAGAGTATCACAGCGTATTGGTCATAAGTAGAGGTAATATATATTGAGCTCTTCAAGCACTCAATTTACTGTAATTCTAATTCTTTATATATGACATTTGAAGAACTTTTTATGAGAAGAAGCATGGATGATTTGTTTGTGAAACTGCAGCTGCATGATCAGGTGCCATGTAATGTTTTTGTGGTTTAAGAGGTATAATCAGCCCAACAGTTGATCAACTTCCCCATACTTGATGCATTGCAGAAGGCCCCATTAGGAGCAGCCATGACTACAAAGCCTGGGGTAGTTACCACAGCAACAGCCACGGGGAGTGGCATGGAGGCAGGAGGAACTGCTAAAGTTGAAGCAGCAGGAAAGGCTTCACCCAAAGCCAAAGCAGAGGTAGATAGACCCTGGGAGTCCAGCTAAAAGTGACGAGCACTTTCTGTGTACTGGGTGGAAATCAAATCTCTGCTTCCTTCTTTTGGTCTGAGGTCTCAGCTACCTCACTACGAGGTGGCTGGTGTCTCATAGTTACTGATTTCATCTGGGTTTTATTGTGTGTGTGTGTGTGTGTGTGTGTGTGTGTGTGTGTGTGTGTGTGTGTGTGTGTGTGTGTGTGTGTGTGTGTGTGTGTGTGTGTGTGTGTGTGTGTGTGTGTGTGTGTGTGTGTGTGTGTGTGTGTGTGTGTGTGTGTGTGTGTGTGTGTGTGTGTGTGTGTGTGTGTGTGTGTGTGTGTGTTTGACATTTATGTGGCTCTACTGTCCATACTGATCTCTCTTGAGGATCAGATGCTAATCACTTGGGTTGAATGCACCTCACACTCTGCAAGGCTGACTCCGTGAATAACCTTTCAACTCATTCTCTTTGGTGGAAGACTAACACCACCATCACCCGAAACAAATATTGGTCCATGAAGGATGTTGAAGATAATATTCTTGAGTTTATTTTGAGATGTATGATGATTTTTGGGCTACATGTGTGTAGACGGCTCCAACCTCCCAAGCCAAAGTGACCTCCACGGTTCCTTCTCCTGCTGCTGGAAAAGCTGCCTCTGCTGCAGTAACCAAACCTGCAGATGCATCCAAGGTAGACCTGACTGCTACGGGCCTTTCTCAGCCTCATTTGGGACAATCTCTCTGCATTTTTCTCTTTTTCTTTCTTGCTTCACTGACTTGTAAAAGGTTGTTACTATACTTGCTTGGAAACACTCCTGCTTTGGAATTAGAACATTTTTACTTTGGCATTCTTCTACATCAAAGAGGGAAAGTCTCTTCTTTCTGGATTCCTCCCTTTCAGCTTTTTCAAAGAACATGTCTCTCCGTGTCGCTGTATAACGTGAACTAGATCATAAAACTGGAGCTGGTGAGAAGAAGCAAGCAAAGAGGAGAGGCCTTCAGCACTTTTTCTTCTTGCATCTGTCTATTAACATCATGAAGCTGGTGAAGGATATGTCTCTGCTCCCATCTTCTCTTTGTGCATGTTCCAGCCTTTGCAAATGCACACTGGTCCTTTACCTTCACCGGACATGAACTCGGTCTGTAGTGGACTAAAATTCATTGTATTTTAGAGTTCCACTGCCACCACAACTGTCAAAGCTGATGCACCTAAAGCTGATTCTGGTAAAACGTCAAAGCCAGCTGCAGCTGGAAATGTGTCAGTGCAAGGGAAGAAAGAGGATGCAAAGACAACACAAACAAAGGTAGATGATCATGCATCAATCGGGGGTGTTGTGTATATTTTCTGCTTACAGATGCATTATATTCGATGTGTGCGCGCACACACACACCTGCAGAGATTATTGAAAATGTCAGAGTAGTTGCTATACTTGTCCTGCCTGCAGTAGTAGAGTGTTCTACTTCAGCACTGATTCTGGATCTGTGTTGCAGGTGCAGGTGGAGGTTGCTCCAGCAGCAGCAAAAGTAGCCAAAGAGGTAAAGTTGGAGTCCTGTGTGTGTTTGCTTTGGAAAGCATGTGGCATGCCGTGGTGTGCTGAGTTGTGCTGCCTGTGCAGGCTTCGGTTGATGACCCATTTGCCGCCCTGGGGGAGACTCTAGCATCGGCTGATCCTGTCACACCCAAACAGCCTGTTTACACCGGGCCAGAGGTCCATGAGGTACCAGCACGATCACAGCGTGTGTAGAAACCGTGGCTTTGCTGTGTTTAACTGTACTGATGCATGTGTCGCAGCATGAAGTCACCTCTGAGAAGGGTCACAAGTGTGGGGAGAGAGACGACACGCTGCCCCCGGGGTACAGATTTGATAAAACGGTCAGTTTGTTAAACTCTCTGTCAGCTGGACTGTTCTCTGAATTTTTCCATTTGCTTTTATCATAATTGGACATAACTGGTTTTGTCAGATTCATATAAAAGGCTGTGAGGGAAAATGAGAGGTTCTTACATTTTATTCAATGAGCCGTAAGGCGTGGGATTCCATAGGAAATGTGAAATCCGCCTCACGGATCGGGGGTTATTTAAACCAGAAGATCAGATCTTTTTAATATGTAACCGTTATGTGTTCACTCAGAGACAACAGAATAGAAAGAGTCAAGTTTAAAAGTTAAGAATTTTATTACTAAGAATTAAACTTGGCTTATTTCAGAACTAAGTGTATAGTGTGACTAAAAATGGATGGGACGGTGAATGGATGATGTGTCATGTAAATCGGAACCAGCAAATCCGAAGAGCGATTAGTTCTGACGGGAACTGAAGATGTTGGTTTGGAATAAGCTTGGGTTAGTTTCAGACCCGCATGAGACACCATCAAGCCGGTCTACTTGCCTTGTGGAAGTCCTCTGGTGAGATCAGGAATGTCGAGGCCCAGCGGACCCTCTCTGGACACCGAGCTGGTAGAAGAGCCGCGGTTCTGACCAGATCCGTCTCGAGTTGCCTCCGGCACACGACTCTTTTCTTGGCGTCTGTTCAGACCCAGCCTGGGTCGGTGGAGCTTTTATTCTGAAAGGAGCTGTTGTGGTCGCTGGTTGTTATGGCGACTGGATTTTCTCAGCTTGTCGTGGTTCTTTCGGTTGAAGAGTTAAAGGTCGGATTGGCCACTCCGACGCTTGCTCTGGAATGCTTTGAACTGGCGTTAGAGCTGACGTGGCTCAGTTTTATACCTCGGATGTTATGGTTTATTGTCGAATGAAAATTTCCAAACACCGTCAGAAGCACGCCTCCGTCAGATCTGTAAAGTTCTGATTGGATCAGTGAAAGAATGTGTTGTGCCTTTTTAACACTACGTGAAATGAGTCCTGTTGGAACATTTAAGGTTACAGACTTATTTTCTAAGATCATAATAAAATAATATTTTAATTTCACAGGTCGGTCACATCTTATTATTGACTAACACTTTGATGGATTAGCTTTATTAAAATAGAGTTCTTTGATTAATTAAAAGAAAAGAGTTCATCCTTCTTTCTTCTGTCTTCATCGCTGGAATGTAAACCGTTTAGAAGTGAATGCATGACCTTGAGGCTGCTTCATGCACACTGGGACTGTGTCAGAAAGAAACAGCTGTTAGAAGGTGGAAATGGCTCCATCACGTTACAAGGCATACTTAGCATATTTTTCATATTTTTAAATCATTTTGTGAGGCAGTATGTGCTGAAATCACCCTTGGTGTTATCTTTGACCAGGACATGTCATTCAAATCCCATGTTAAACAGGTTTGTATGACTTCCTTCTTCCACCTAAGATTAGAAGCATCCTTTCACGGAGTGATGCTGAAAAACTAGTTCATGCATTTATTACATCAAGACTGGATTATTGTAAGTCATTACTATCAAGAAGTCCACAGAATGTAGGTACATGTTTTTAGCTTGTCCAAAATGCTGCAGCTAGAGTTCTGAATGAATTAAAAAGAGAGATCACATCTCTCCTGTCTTAGCTTCCCTACGTTGTCTGCATGTTAAATTCAGAATAAAGATCCTCCTTCTCACATATAAAGTTTTTAATAACCAAGCTCCGTCATACATCAGTGATCTGATTGTTTCTTATATTTCTAACATAGCACTTCCCTCTCAGACTGCAGGTTTACTGGTGGCTCCTAAAATATCTAAAAATGGGATGGGAGGCAGATCTTTTAGCTATCAGGCTCCTCTCTTGTGGAATCAGCTCCCAACTTTAGTCCATGAGGCATACACCTTGTCTACTTTTAAGACTAGGCTTAAACATTTTTATTTAATAGGGCCTATGGTTAAATTCTGATGTTTAGCCCATATCTGGATGAGCGGGGGACAAAGAAATCATAATAGGGAGCCTAAGTCTCCTCCCCTTCTGGTCAGCTCATGGGTCCCTGGAAGAACGAAAAAAATGAATGCAAGTCAACGGGGCTAAAAACGCTATTTTGTAATCCGCTTTGCCATACGCTGTGGATCACACATATGTTGTACTGCAATTTAAATGAAAAATAATGATGGGTGTTTCAACTGTGCCAGTCATGTACTTTGAGATTCATCAGCTTGTAAATGATTGTAATTAACATGATTACACACTAGAAATTGGCATGTCACATATGTGACATCGCCACATAATATCCTCTCCCCAAAGTAGCTGCTACTTACCAAATGATGAGATTTATGGTAGTTCCTTCCTCCTGTGGGACGTTTGCTGAACTTGCAGCCCTTTTACCTCAGTTTTCTACATGTCTGGTTCGATGATGTCACTTTCGTGATGTGCATTTGTAGTTCTGGACTTATTTTCTCACACAACCTAAAATAGCATATCCCCCTGTTTGAAAATAAGCACATTCTTTGTATCAATTTGTGTCTTTAAAATTCACGGACATCATATGTGAAAATCCATGGCACAAAACAAGGGTAATTAGAAAATAGCGTTTTTAGCCCCGTTGACTTGCATTCATTTTTTTGTTCTTCCGGGGACCCATGATGCAGAAGTAGATGGGCGTAACTCAGGCTCCCTATATAGCCATAGAAACACTACTTGGCATATAGTGTGTGTGTGTGTGTGTGTGTGTGTGTGTGTGTGTGTGTGTGTGTGTGTGTGTGTGTGTGTGTGTGTGTGTGTGTGTGTGTGTGTGTGTGTGTGTGTGTGTGTGTGTGTGTGTGATCTGTCTTCTCAATCCTTGCTTGGTATGAGGATTGCTGTGAAGACACTGACACAAGTCAGTGACTCAATGCAATCTGCTGGGTTCCTTCTACAAGAAAGCTTTTACTTATTGGCTTAATGAACTGAACTGAATTGGAATGTTTACTTTGTGAAGTGCTTTAAGACGACTTGTCGTGATTTGGCGCTATATAAATTAACAGAATTGAATTGAATTGCAGTGTTAATGAAATGTCACCCATCGCACGGCCCTCTGTGGTCAGAATACCGCATTTGCAACTTCAGAGTGCTGGTCCCGTCTGCTGGACTTTAGCTGACATACCTAGCACTGCAGTCTGGTTCCAGCATGTTTCCTGCATGTTTTAGATCATGAACACAGCTGATTTGTTTAATTTAGTGACGAGTCCCTCCTGTAGACACTATGGTAAATGGGCTGTATTTGATATAGCACCTTTTAGAGTCCTGGGGCCTCATTTATCAAGCTTGCTTACGCACAAAACGGGGTTGGAAAACTGCGTAAGCAACTTTCCACGCAAACTTTGGGATTTATGAACGAAAACTTAGCGGAAAAATGTGCGCAACTTTAAGTTGACTAAGGACCTTGCTTATGCACATTTTGGACATGGAGAGCACCTGCAGTGCCGCTGCTGAGAAGGATAAAATTATGAAATCCTGCAGCATTATCACTTGTACTGCTTCGTTTTCACACAGAAAAAGACCCCCCACACGCACACACATGCGCACGCACACACACACACACACACACACACACACACACACACACACACACACACAAACACACAGCCTGAAGCGCAGAATAAGGAATGCAGAATATCAGCAGGGGGACAGATTGAGACAGAATGTCATGCGTCTGTGACAGTGTGTGTGTCCTGTCACTGTGACCCGATTAATCATGCGCCCTGGCTACTTATACAGGGGAGATCTCCTGACTGACTGGTTAGCGTGCGTGACTTTCACCTGGGAGTCTGGGGATCGAATCCCAATTGGACCATTATTTTTTATATCCGCCACAGATCTCTCTGAAGAACTCACAACATTGACGGCTTCAGCAACGCTGTGCCACTCTGTGGATTTTCTCTTATTTGTTTTGCAAAAGCACTTCCTTTTATTTATCCACCTCACCCACAGGTACCTCAATTTCTGCTTCTGTGAAATTACGCTTCCTTGATCTGCCTTGATCTACGGTCACCATCGTCATTGGTGGAGTGCTGCAACACCCGGCTTACGTATATGCATGATGAGATCCACAAGGCACTTTGTGTTGACCATTTATGGCAGTAAGTGGGCGTGGTGAGGGCGGGATGTGACTAAAATGCAGCTGAGAAACATTCTCGTTAGTCTCTGATTTATGAAGCGGAGATTGCGTGCAGCTGTTCGTACTCCATGTTTGATAGATCACAAACCTACTTGGCGTAAGTACATTTTTTTGCTGAGCTTAAGTATGGTTTTAGTAAGTATTCTACGTAATGTTTGATAAATGAGACCCCTGGAACCCCCCAAGGCACTTTAAATCAGTCCTTCACCCATTCACATACACATTCACACACTGGTGGGCAGAGCCGGATTAAATAAATGGACTACACTAGGCAGGCTGCATTTTTAGGGCCCCCCCTCCATCGATGTTATGTAATGAATTGAAATCTGAAACTTACAAAATTTACTTATAAAAGTTCATTCACATTTTACATTGCCTAGTTTTTGGTTACAAATTGGTTGTTTGTATGCCAAAATAAGTCATGTGTTGTATGCTGTTGCCTCTGCTGAATCAGAAATTCTGTCAATTTTCTGAGTGTGAACTTATTGTTTTGCTATTTGAACATTAATAAAATTATTTGACAAATAATTAATAAAACCAGCAACACTTACCAAGGAAACCATTTAGCATTCTCTACTCCGGGATAATCTTCAGCCTTCCAGCATCACATGCCTCAATCACAGCAGAAACACATCTAAAGAAATGTTCCTTGGTTAAGCTTCAGTCTATGTCTCCAGATTTCCTCTGTGATGCAGAAGAATATCCAATATTTTGAGAGGGATAGTTTAGTGCAAAGTACTCATCAGTTTGGTACCACTTTGCAGGATCAGATGGGTAGCTAGTTGTTAATACCCTGTCTGGGTCTAGGGGCTCCTGTAAGACTATATTGGGCTCACTTCTGGCTGGCTGCTGTTCTTCCAGTTTGTCCTTCTGTGAAGGCGCTGATGTTGACGGCGTTGGCGCTACAGCATCTTCCGCCACATCTTCCACCGCGTCTTCGGGTTGTGTCTCCTCCGGGTCTGACTTGGGCCCGGCCTCTGGCTCTGCTGACTCGAGCATATTCACAGCTGTCGGATGGCTGCCCGAGCAGCCCGACAGAAACTTCTGTAAAGCCCCCCGCTGTCTCTTCTTTAGTTCCTCTTCATTTAAATATTTTTCTTTTTTACGTTTTGCCGCACCCGAAAGCATCGTGAAAGTTAGCCTACTCAAAAACACCTGCTAGCTTTGTTGTGTCCCGCTCTAACTCTGACCGCTTCTCTGACGTCCTTCATTGGGTGGCGCCTTAACCCTCTGGGGTCCAGGGTGTAATTTGCAGTGAGTTTTCCTTTGTATTTCCAAAATAAAAACCATAACCACTGCCTTATGTGGTATCAATCTTTTCAGCACAACCTGGACTTTATGAATCTATACTTATTTTGTATATTTGGACATAAAGGGGTTGCGTATTAGACCTTAAATCACTCAAAAACATAAAATCTGAATAGGAAAAAAGTTGTTTATTTTACTGTGAAACCAACAAACATTTATGACAAATGTTTTTTATCATTTAGACTGGTAATCTAGACTGTACATTTATAAAAAATATGACTAAATATAGCAAATAACTAATTAAAAAAAGTTATTAGCTCTCTGGGATCCAGAGTGTAAATCACCGTTTTTGACTCATTTTGGTTTTTCTTTTGTATTTTCTAATAAAAATAATAAATATTGCCTTATGGGGTATGGTGGGGATGAGCTACGATGTAGCGCACTGACAGAGGCGAGGCTGCCGTGAACAGGCGCCACCGGTCCCTCTGACCACCACCAGCAGCTAAGGGGGGTTAAGTGTCTTGCCCAAGGACACTACAGTAGCATTCTCTGGTAGAGCAGGGATCAAACCTGCAACCTTTTGATTACAGGGCGAGCACTTAGCTCCTGTGCCACCGTCACTCCAGATCATCCATTTCAGCTAAAGTGCCAAATTACACGTCTACAGCACGATTAGACACTCATTTATAAAGTTTATCAGCAAAAGTAGATTTGGGTGTGACTTGCTCTTTAACAAAACAAACACACAGTGAGGAGATAAGTTTCACATTTGCTTTCACTACAGATAATTAATAACGGACACTAGGGGGACACTAATTAGAGTGTGAAACATCTCTGTGCTGCAGGTGGTTGTTGTCCGTAGAGAAGAAAAAAGCAGCGAGTGTTTATTTAAAACTGCTAATCATGTGTTGACCGAACCCATTGCTGTTCTGGAGCAGCTTTGATGTGCTTCACGTTGAGAGTGACTCGTATGTTAGCAGGTCCTGTTTCAATCTGCTGATCAAAAATGACCCAGAGGAAGACATGACTGCTCCGTCTAATTTCTATGCTGCTTTTGTCTGAGTGATGCTGATAGAAGCGCATCACAGTTAGGGTTATTTGTCAGTCTGTCAGGAGTTTTGCATGTTTGTATAAAACTAGAAACCTTAAGTGTCTCCGCTTACAGACTATTTTATTTATTTGTGGTAGTTATACAGTTGGATCTGTACCAAACGATCAAATTCATTATAAACGATACAGAACTTCTTATTATAAAAGATATTATAGAAAAGTTATGTTTGTTTGGTTTGATCTAATTTTAGCTTTTTTAACAGATTGGTCATTTAAATTGGAAATCTAGGCCATTTTTGTTCTTGTTTAATAATAAAAAAGTCAAACAATCACCTCTCATAAGACTTGAGTTGTTTTAAAAGTCAGATTGATCCATTCTGAAGTGTTTTACTGTGTAAAAGCAAACAAAAAAATCACTCTTGGCTGACTGTAGATTACTTCCTGAACAGCCTCAGCTCTGAGAAATAGTTTGCGCTTCAGCGCTGAAATAAAATGAATCCAGGTTACAAACTTTCATAGAGGCTCAGCAATTTTGTTTTTGAACCTTTACACTACCGTCATTATTTAGGGAACTCTGGGATTTTACTCCTGTAAATGTCACCAGCAGCAAAACGCAGGGGAGCATGTTTATGTTCTATATGTGACATCATATTCGAGTCAGAACTGTCTTCTTCTCTACACCTGTCTGCAAAGGTTCATGAAAATCTGAGCAGCGCCACCTGTGTACAACTCGTGGTAAACATGAGAAGTGTTCTTCTTACAGCATTTAAAAACGTGGGAACATGGGGCGTATTCATGACCCCTTTATGTGCATCCAGAGGATGAGTCCAATAGGAGTGTCCTAATATTTCTGACAAGTGAAATAGAAAATGTACGCATGAGCTGCTGTGAATGTTTGGAGACTAGAACCGTCTGAGAAAGGCATAGTTTCACTTTGGCTGCACTCAGACTCATGAGTCCTGATGGATTTAAAAGCTGTTTCTCAATACTGAGGCTATTCAGGAAGCATTAGGTAAGATTGCTTTTGCAGAGAATGCTAAGTAAAGAAATAACTTTGAGCCTCACAGGGAACATTTAACCACTAATTAATTTATTTTCTAATGTAAAAATATTGTTGTTGTTCCTTTTAGGCCCCAGCTCCTGCAGATGCTAAACCCAAAGATGTTCCTGTAAGTGAAGCTGTCCTAGCTCTCCTTTGAGAACCAAACACTTTGTGTTGTTTCTGTTTATTCTGGTCCAGATAAGGTTCAAAGACTCTCCCCAGCACACGCACACGCACACGCACACACACACACACACACACACACACACACACACACACACACACACACACACACACAGGAAGTTGTGTTTCCATCGTCTGCCCTGCTGGTTCAGGAGCGGGTAACAGTGCGCTTTTGGGCGATGGCTCAGAAAAGAGAACTACCTCATCAGTCAGAACTAGTCAATTCACATTAGACCAAACCAATCGCACACGCACACATCTGTAGTTTAGTGTTTGCTCACCCACAACACACACCCATGTTTGCATCACAGTCGACTCCCATTTTATCTAGCTGTCCTGCATCTTTGTTTCTGTGTATTCTGATCTGATTTCATCACTTCTTCTGTGGTTTCAGTGTTTAGATTTAGTGTTTGATAAAGCAGCTTGTTAATCTTGTCCTTATTTGTATATTTTTGGTGTTTGAGGAACGTGAAAATGGGAGTGTCTGTACTTTTCCCTCCCTGCTGGTTCACATATATTTTTTTCTTTTTGTTTGCCTGGAGACTTGGTGTGTTGCGCCCCCTAGTGGAGGGTCAGGTTGTTTGGCTGATCTGTTGCCGTCTGGAGGTAATAACATTTTATTTATTCCATTTCAGAAGCCTATGAGTAATGATGAGGCTCTGGAATCACTTTCCTCTGGTTTCATGATGTCCAGTCCTCCACCTGGAGCCAAAGAGCAGGCCAGTTCTTAACCTTAAAGTCCAGTTCACCAATCTATTTTCAAGTTAACTCCTATTTAACACTACATATGTTTTCTGTCTCATAGAAAGTTGAGAAGTCTGCAGCAGCTGCTTCTGTGGCCGTGAGTCCCACTCCTCCTGCTGATAAAAAACCCAGGATGGAGAAAACCTCTGATGTGTCTCCGAAGGCGGCGACCCCTCCTGCTGCCTCTACGGTATCTTTGCAGCTCAGATAGACCCATTTTAATTTATTACTTTTATGCAGTGATGTTAAAAATTTACCTGATTTTACTTTCTGTGATGAAAGTTTAAAATATATTTTTGAAGCTAACAGCTCATAGGATATCAGGATCAAAAACAAACTATCAGCATCATAGATGCTTTATTTGTGTTTCATTAGGGTCTCTTTTAAATAATCATTTTACTTTATTGTGTTTGTAGAAAGCCGCCCCTCCTGTAGCCGTGTGTCCGGCGCCTCCTGCTGATAAAAAGGCTAAAATAGACACAAGTGCAGCTGATTTCTCTCTTGAAGCTGCAGTTTCAGCCAAACCAGCCAACACTCAGCTCAAGTCTGACAAGGTGAGGAGGGGTGAATGAACGCTAGTGGTCAGGACAGTGTTGTAACGTTCCCTCAGGGTTGAACTAAGAGTCATCTGTGTCGTTCTGTAGAAAGTGGAGTCTGGAGCCGATAAAACCACCAAAGGAGCGAAATCTGCTGCTGCATCTAAACCCAAGGTGGAAAAGGTGAGATATAGGATATCTGCATCTGTTTGAGCTTTATTTTTCTGCTTTCTGCTTTATTTAATGAGTTTGTAGATGAGAAAATAAACTGTGTCTTCTCAGGGGGACTCCATGTCCGATGCTCTCAGCGCTCTCGGCGACTTGCTGCCAGAAAACAAACCTGAACCGGAGTCTCCTAAAGTCAGACCTGAAGACGTGGTCTCGGTAGGTGCCCTCAAGGATCATTTGTAATTTACCCGAGGCATTTACAATCAGCGAGGTGTGTCATTTTCTCCTGCTTGAATTGTTTTGCAGGAGGACAAACTCAAGAAGGAGAAGGGCATGCGGGTGGGAGAGAGAGAGGACTCACTTCCTCCAGATTACAGATTTAAGGAGGAGGATCTCAAAAAACACCCTGCTCCTGAGCCGGAGGTGAGACAGGATCACTCGTACAGGAGTAATGTTGAATCATTCCCAATTCAGGACATTTTATTTGACTCCTCCGTCCTTCGGCAGCCCACCATTGGGACCGGAGAAGCTCTGGACTTTTTATCTGGGGACTTCACCACTCCTTCATCAGCACCTGCCATCCAGGCTCCTGTTGTCACCCCCTCAGCTGCTCCTGCGCAGGTACACACTGCTCCCACCTAAAACCAAGCCCATTTCCATGTGTTTACTACGCATCCTCATCTGTTGGATGCTGTAGAAAGCTCCGCCCCCTCCTGCTACGGACAAGAAAGCCAAGAAAACGGATAAAGGATCTGAGGAGTTCTCTCTGGAGGCTGGTCTGTCTGCTGCCAGTGCTCAGGTACACGCAGCTCTGCTCAGATTCTTCTTTCTGCTTTTTCTCTCTAAGACCTGGTCACAGACGGTAGCTGCACACGTTGCACATGAACCAAAGAGGACAGAAAATACTTTTTAAAACACAAAAGTTTCATTAATGGTTCATGAGCTTTACGTCGTTCGGTCACAAATTGCAAAAGCTCACATGAGGAGTAACTTGGAGAATCATTAGATTTTCACACGTGGAGTCAGACAAATAGTGTAAAGTATTGGATGTAAACCGGAGTCAGCTGTCAGGATCACTTCCTGTCTAATGGTTAAACTAATGTTGTTCTGTAGAAAGTGGAGTCTGGAGTTCCTCCTGGAGCTGATAAAACCACTAAAGGAGAGAAATCTGCTGCTACAGCTAAACCCAAGATGGAAAAGGTCTAGCCCTTTTTCCTCTACTTTCTCTCTTGTGCCACACTGGTAGAGTCAGTTAAGACCAGCATCCTCCTGTCTCCTCAGGGGGACTCCATGTCCGATGCTCTCGGTGCTCTTGGCGACTTGCTGCCAGAAAACAAACCAGAACCGGAGTCTCCTAAACTCAGATCTGAGGATGTGATCTCGGTAAGGACAGATCCACTCCCATCAGATAATATTTATCACAGATCTTCATGACTCGTTTCTCCTTTTTTACTGCAATAGGAGGCCAAAGTCAAGAAGGAGAAGGGCATGCGGGTGGGAGAGAGAGAGGACTCACTTCCTTCAGATTACAGATTTAAGGAGGAGGATCTCAAAAAGCACCCTGCTCCTGAGAAGGAGGTGAGAGGCGGACCATGTTCGTGATGCAGAAAACTAAATGTTTCTGCAAACTGAATGACTGACTCTTTGGTTTTGTACCGTTCTCCAGCCCACCATGGACAGCGGAGAGGCTCTGGACTTTTTGTCTGGAGACTTTACGACCTCCTCTACTGCTCCTGCTGTCCAGGCTCCTGCTGTCACCTCCTCAGCTGCTCCTGCTCAGGTAAACTAATGATGCTCACACATTCCATCTTAGAAACATGTTGTTTTTTGGCTTACAGGTGCCTGTTCCAAAAGCTATTTTATGATTTATGCATTTATTTATATTCTGCATTGGTGTTCTAGGTGAAAGTGGAGAACGTCTCTGCTCTGGATGTCCTCTCTGGAGATTTTGTGGCTCCATCTAAATCTTCTGGAGTTCAGGCTACTGCCCCTCCTTCAGACAAACATCCAGAGGTGAATTCAGAAGCTCCTGCCTCCTAAAATAACAGAAACAACTTCATCTTAGCTGAGTTCCAGCTCTCGCTCTTCCTTTTGTCTTATGGTGTCTTTGTGTGTTTGAAGCAGAAGCATCAATCCACAGCTGCAGTCAAACACACGGAAGCCACCAAAGCAGAGACGGTAACCCGACGTCTTGCTTAGAACTGTCTTTTATTTTTGTTGGTTCTGATTGAATGTGACGACTCTCCTCAGGGCGGCTCCCTCCCTCTAGATGCTCTCAGTGCTCTTGGAGACACTTTAGCTCTAGATGAACCAAAGAAACCAGAGTCGCCCAAACTCCGACCTGAAGACATCGTCTCGGTAAGGGAACGCACACACCACTCAGACCGTCCAGTCAGTTCAGTGTTTGTAGTTTGTACTTTTTAACCCTATTTCCATGTTTTCTGAGTGATTTGGTTAATTTTGTCCACTGTTTTCTCGTCTCCACAGGAGGGCACCGTCATAAAGGAGAAAGGCGTGTTTGTAGGTGAAAGAGAAGACTCTCTTCCTCCAGCCTACAGGTTTAACAAGGAGGAGCTGAACCAACTGCCTCCTCCAGAACCCGAGGTGAGACCGGATCAAGAGCATTAATGTTTGGCTCGCAGTTTGGATCAAATAGGAAATGTCTCCCTGTCTCCAGCCCACCATGGAGACCGGAGACGCTCTGGACTTTTTGTCTGGAGACTTTGTGGCCTCTTCTACAGCTCCTGCTGTCCAGGCTCCTGTTGTTGCCTCCTCAGCTGCTCCTGCTCAGGTGCACATCTAAATCATAAATAAAAATTTGATGTTCTTTCAGGTTTTATATCGTTTCCTTTTCACTCCTCTTCCCCGTCAGGACTGTGACGATGCTCTGAATGCTCTGGCTGGAGATTTTGTTGCCTCCACTGTTGCTGCTGCAGTGAAATCCGCACCTTCCACAGGTGCCGGTGCAGGTGCACAGGTAAACACCTGAGCAAGGTGGAGCTTTTCATTACCAGCTGCTACATCAAAAATAATTTTTCCTGTTTTAGGCTCAGCTTACTGAGAGCAGCGCTCTCGACGCTCTGTCCGACACATTAAAAGACATCACACCCGCCCCACAGCCCACCCCGCCTCCTGCTAAAGACCTCGTTAAGGTAAAGCTCTCGAGCACTTACAGCAGAACCGGAGAACAGCTCCTGGACGTGGGCTGAGCCAAGGCTGTTTGTTACAGGAGAAGAAGGCTGTGGAGGAGAAGCTGGTGAAGATGGGAGAAAGAGACAACTCGCTGCCTCCAGAGTACCGGCCCACAGAGGAGGACCTAAAGGTCTCGCAGCCTCTTTCTGCACTTTAATTCAACCGTTTGCTGTTTGTTTATCAGACATTTATTTTATTTTGTAGAAATTTAAAGAAGCTAAGAAGAATGAGCCACCAACGCCTACAAAGGTAGCAAACATCGGTCATTATAGACATTCAGGTAGAAAAAAGGGTTTATTTACTATTTCTGTTCCCCTCTGACCTGCAGGACAAGATGGACGACAAAATGGCACTGGACCTGCTGTCTGATGACTTCACTGCTGCTCCTCAGCCAACTGCTCCCACCGCCTCCTGCACAACAAAGCTGGAGCTCGACTCGGAGTCCCTAAAGGTAGCAGAAGAATCAAACACCACCTCCTCACTAGAATCAATCATGTTTTGGGACTAAACTCTGTGTTGTTTTTATTTTTCCAGCCGATGGCCCCTCCCGTGCTTCCACACGCTCTGGAGTCCAAGTCTAGTGTAGAAAAGCCAAAGGTAAAAACCTGTCATCAAAATGTAAAAGAGTTCTCTAACACTGGTCAGAATCGGTGTGGAATTATGTGGGATAATGGAATTATGTGGGATAATGTGGGATTTTAGTTTGTGTCACATGGTGCCGACCTGTTGACTTTGTTTCAGGGCAAGAGCAAGTCCAAATCAAAGTCTAAAGTAAGCAAGGTCTCAGTGCATGAAGGCTTTGGTTAAGGCTGAGTTTTATGTTTATTCAGTTTGTGCATGATGGCATGTTAGGGTCACCTGGGACTTAAAAATAAACATGAAAACAGCCGGAGGGATAAAATTCCAGGAAAGATTTAAGAAATTCAAAGATTACTGATTTATATTTGCAGGAAAATTCTTGTACAATTAATTTATAGGATTTAAGAGTGAGGGAGACCCAGTCGGCTGCTTTTTTGTATTAATTTTAACAATAAAGGGAAAATAACAAAGAGCCAAGCACAGATCCCTGAGGAACCCCGCATAAGAGAGAGGCATGAGATGACGCAAAGCCACCTAAAGAGACACGTGACCTCTCAATCAAATAGGATGCAAACCAGTCCAGAGCAACTCCTTGCACCCCAATAAATTGTCCTAACCAAGAAATCAGGGGACTGGTTCATGGTGTCAAATGCAGCTAACAAATCCAGCTGCACCAGAAATGCAAAGTCTCCAGAGTCAGTAGCCAAATGGATATCGTTTAAGACCTTGAGTAGTGCAGACTCTCTGCTATGTGCCTTTTTAAAGCCCAAATTTTTCACAATGATCATTTAAATACAAAACCTCAGTTAGGTGCAAATACACCACTTTTCCTGATCCTTGGAATGAATGGAAGATTAGCAATAGACTTCTTACTGGACATAGCCAAAGGGTCAAGACCAGACTTAAAACGGCAGGGAGGAATCACATCAGGAGGTGAACCTGAGGGCTTTAGGGTTCCAAAATCAGGTACTTATTGGGTCTTATTATAGGATTTTCCAATAATTTTCTTGTAATTTTTGTCATTCCCAACACTTATATGTTTATATTATACAATGGCTATAGAGTGAGCGAAATCATCGCACAGAAGCAGAGTTTTAACTGAACCTGTTGCAATGGCTGTTGGCAGTTCCTCACTCTGTCCCTCTGTGATGTTTGCATGAGCGCCAGTTGCTTTAAACTTTTCTTTTTTTTTTTACATTTCTAAATTTTTGTTCAGGCACAGAAGACTGAAGCTGCAGCAGATCCATGTGATACCAAAGTGCCGTCAGCTCCTCTAAGCAAAGACGTCGTGCCAAAATCCACAGCGAAGGGTGGGAAGTGCTAGTCGACTCGGTGAGGCTTCATCTCATGGTTGCATCGTTTGAAAACGCGTGGCCTCTCCTCTGACAGATAAACTGTGTCGTGTTGCAGGTTGTGGGTGTAATTTGTCCCCCAGACCACTGGGATGCATCGCTGAGAGAGCTGCTTTTTGGATTACTTTATTTTTCTAACTTGTCAAGAATGTAAGCAGAACGACCGGCGGACTTGGACCTCCCCACCAACTCGACACACACGCATAAACAGACCTTCCAGCAGCCCCTCTTTCTTTAAATCTTTAATTTTGTCACGTTCCAAGATGGGAAACGTTTGATTTTCGTCATTGGAGAAAATAAACACAAACTTTTCACAAAACAAGACGACTGTGATGAAAGAGCAAAAAAAAAAAAGGTTCGGGAAAACGTGAATAAATATTGATAAGAGCTGAAAGTCCTGCATCTCCACATCAGCCGGCGTTCTCCAGCGACACACAAACATCTGGACACTTGGTGGTGTTGGGTGGAGCGATGGGGGCTTTTCTGTCACGTTGTGGTTCTGATGCTGATGAGACACTAGTGTACAGCTGTGTTGACGTATATTCTAATCATAGTTTACATTAAATACACGGAGGGTCTCCAGTCGGCTCGACTGAGTCGGAAAGCTTTTCTGCAAATTCTTTTTTCCTTTTGTGTTGGCGGCCTTATATTAAACAAATCCTTGCATTCAGAAGTGCACTTAGAGAAACCAGGGGTTTACAGATGTTTTGTGATCTGCCACTCTTCGTAAGCTGTAAAAATACGTTTGCTCTACTGAAAACGACACTGTATCGTTCACAAAGGGCTGTTGCTTCCAACTGTGGCCAGAAATCAGAAAATAATTCCTAGTGTTGGTTTTCTGTGGGAAAACTTCTACTTCAGGAAAACTAGCTAAATTATAATAATAAAGAAAAAGGAAAAAAAAACTAATTTTGTGTATGAAAACTCGCTGTCTTCTTAAAAGGTGTAAGGGAGCGTGTGTGTGTGTGTGTGTGTGTGTGTGTGTGTGTGTGTGTGTGTGTGTGTGTGTGTGTGTGTGTGTGTGTGTGTGTGTGTGTGTGTGTGTGTGTGTGTGTGTGTGTGTGTGTGTGTGTGTGTGTGTGTGTGTGTGTGTGTGTGTGTGTGTGTGTGTGAGAGTTTGTTTTTCTGCTCCTAACATGTTTTAACTTTTTGTTTCTGCATGCGGTTGAAGCAGCCCACTTCCTTTTGTCTCTAGAGGGTCGTAAAACAAGCGAAAACCTAAATGTGGAGCCGGTTTTCTCTGTGGAACAGAATAAAATGATGATGAACATAATTCACCATTGTCGTAATTCTGTTTATTTTCTTTTTATCACATTTTAAATCAGGAATTCTAAAATGTACAATTCAGCAAAAAAAAATGAATAAAAACCTTAAAATGTGAGCAGAATTATTTACGTTCATATTTTTGTTTATATAAAGAAAGCATAACCGCGTTAAGAGCAAGAAGCATGACGGGAAGCTCAGTTGGAAGGGATTGCAGAAAAATGCAATGTTATAAAATATGTACAAATATTTCATGATTTATATTTGAGGAGAAAAAAATTAAGGTTAAAAATTCTCAGTTTTATTCTCAAGTCAAGTGTTCCTGGAAAAAGATCCTTTTTCATCACTATTTAAAGAAAAAGTGATTAAAAGTAAGGCAACAGTAAAGCCTTCAGGATATATGAAGCGTTAAATCCTTCTGAAAGCTTTAGGTTTTTGTGTAAAGTGTTCAACGTTAGATTATTTATTCATGCTTTGGCAAATAAAAAAACTGAATTTATGACAATAACTGAAACTATAAAATAAAAGCAGGTTGAAGAAATCTACGTGAATTTTTGGATCAGACGTGTCTGTTGGTCATCTGCTTTTCGAGAGCGTCCATCCTCGGCCTGCAGGAATCAAAAACATACAAATACATTGTTTTTATGGGCAACATTGTATTTAGTAGATAACCAGAAATTGAAATCTTCATTAATAAATATCATCAGTATTTTGAGGTCAATGATGAATTATTAAATTTCCAAGTAAATCTATCTAATCATACCCTGAGAATAACTTTAAATGTATTCACTTTAATGATTTATATCTGCATAGAAACAGAAAAGTTATAATAAATGCACAAAATAGAATTAGCTTGTCTATGTTGTCACAGGAACATGAAATAAAAACCATTTGGATGCAACAACAAATGAAGCACGTACTTTCTCTTGTAATGGTGCGGGCACCTTCGAGTCCTCATTTCTAGAACAAAAGGTTACTCGAATTTAGTGAAAAATGACTTTCTGAGTAAATCTAAAATACTTAAATCACATTTAAAAATAAATTTAAAATGATTTCCAGCTTTTCAGAAGAGCGGTTTTGTTTCGGCGGCCATGACTCACTGTTGCAGTACAGCGAGATGATGATGAGGAGCAGGAGAAGAAGGCCGCAGCCTCCAGCCAGAGAGCCCAAGATGAGTGGATTACAAAACATGGACAACCCTAAAACACACATTTGTTGACCACCTGTTCAACCTGATGAAGTCACGTGTGTGTGTGTGTGTGTGTTTAAGGTGAATACCTGGCTTTGGGCAGATGCAGGGTTTGGTTGTGGGTGTAATCTGAATGGTGGGGAGCACCGCTGGAGGAGTTACTGCTTTAGCTTTTGCTTAAAAAAGAAACATGATTTTTAAAAAGTGTAATTAATTTTATAATTCAGTGAAAATTTGACTTTAACAAAGGAAATGAAACTTACCTTCACCCACACGGGTTACTGGTCCAAATTTTAACTCGTTACCTTTATAAAGCGCCGCACAGCCGTAAATCCCGCTGTCCTTTTCATTGTTAAAGGACTTTATTATTAGAGTTTTTTCATTTGCCATTCTGTATTTTACATCAAAGCCTTCTACGCTTGATTTTTTAATGCCGATGTTGCTGAATGTTGCGATGAACTCCATGCTCAAGCTGTCCAGAGTTCGAAACCAGAAGATTATCTGCTTCTCTTTAGGGTCACAGGAGACTGAAACCTCTTCCCCATCCTTAACTTTATCAGCTGAGATGAATTCTGAATGTTGGGACAAAAACCATAGCAGTTACTTCTCCTCTGTGTTCAGCAAGTACAGAAAGCAATCACATATAAAAATAAACAAAAGTCAACTTACTTTGACAAAACAGAAGAATCAACAGCATCTGAATCCCTTTTTGGTCCATTATTTAAATCCTGCAGAGAACAAGAGCAGTTTAAGTCGTCCTTGTGGTGTTTACTGGAGTCTGCCAGGAGATAGCTGAGTGAGATACGAAACCACGCCCCAGCTGTAACTTTCTTCTCATCTGTGTCGAATGGGATCATTGCAGCCGAGCATTTGCAGAGCCCTCCTGCAGCATGGTCGTGGTCTGCATCATTTTGAAGTGGAGCCCACCGGATCTGCACGTCGTTCATCTGCCTCTGGTTTGAAGCATCGAACTGGATCCACATGCCATTGGCCCACAGAGACGTGTGGGTACGTGGGCTCAAAAGGATGGATGGGGGGGTGGTACAACAACTGCACAGAGGCAGAAGCTATAAGGACAGTTGTTTTTGCTCTTTCTGCACAAATGCTGCTGTTTTGTGTTCACACAAGTAATATAAACCCAGCTGGAGTTCCCAGACAGCTGCACTCTGACCTCTGACCTCCCCTCTGCATGAGGCTGTGAACTTATTTGACCGAATATTGAACTCAGTTTATCACAGTGAGAGTAGAACGTTTATTCTTTTTACTTTGTGTTTATTAAAGAACGTAAGAAAGAAGCTCAGTCAGTTTCAACCTTCGGTTTCTCTCTTGCTGTAATTCTCTGAATAAACATTTATTTAAAAAAAATAGAACAATCTCGCGTCTGTCAGCAGAAAAAAGCTTAGTCTGGCCCTCTTCCTCTAAATGCTGTAGTCCGAGGTTTGGCAATTATAATCCCCACGAAGCAAATTTTGTGAAAACACATTTGTATAATATATTCAAACCTTTGGCCACAGCTGAATCCCTTTTAAAAACTAGCTTTGCTCCAAGTGAATTATGTGATGACGGCTCACAAAAATGAAAAAAGCTTCCTTGCCGTGATCCAATTTCAAATTTCAAGCCACCAGATGGCAACAGAAGTAGAACACACACCTGTTTAATTTGTGGAACAATAAAACAGTGAATTAAGAGTCGAATAAGAACCGGCATTTATCAAAACAGAAACAAACATCTGATTTATAAATAGTCTCAGTTCCATCACAACAAAGGTGACTGAAGGGGCGAATTACTGGAAATCAGCGTGTGCTGCCTGTGGTTGGACTGTGGGTTCATGCTTGTAACTTAAAGGGACCTTTCAGCTATTCTGAAGCGTGTTTCTGTGTAAAAATAACAAATGTCTACTAGAACAGACTCAATTGAGCTAGCAGCTATCTGAACGCAGATAACACAAACAAAGTGCATCGATCTCCTAATCTCACCACAGATCATCTAAAGCTATGGTGTGAACCTTTACTCTTCCACACAGATGCAGTTCTGAGAGAATATGAATACTTTTAATTACAGACTCAACACCTGGTTGCACCAGAGATGCTACCTTCTGCTGCTGGGGACGTCCACGACATGTAGATAGTCATCTGATGTGACAGCTGAGTTTATAAAAAGAGTTGCTACAAGATTTTTTTAAAGAAGGATTTCTAATTCAAGTTGATGTTATTAACCTCTAATGAGAATCTGCTCTAAAAAGATTGAAAAATAAAAAAAAATACTGAGGTGACGATTCCTCATAAGACATTTTCAAATGTTAAAGATGAAGTTTTTTTTTTTTTTTGCTTAGAGCTACAACTGGGAAAAAAATTCAGTGTCTCATATTATTGCAGGGCAGTTACGTATTTTAATTTTGAGTGTGTGTGTGTGTGTGTGTGTGTGTGTGTGTGTGTGTGTGTGCGTGCGTGTGTGTGTGTGTGTGTTTGAGGGGCATGAGAAGTGAAGAAGGAGTGGGTCCATGATCCAAACTTTACCCTTATTTTTGAAAAATGTGGTCCATGTGGGTGTAGAAAAGGATCACCCCCTATGAAAGGCTGTAATTATGTTTCTGTTACATTCTTCAATTAAAACAGACATAACGTATCTACCAGATTACTTATCCAATGCACCCTACAACTGAAAAACATCACAGTTACAGTTGAAAACAAAAAACACAAAATACTAAGACTTCAGTTATTTTTATAGTTTACACGCAATTTTGAAGACCGGGTTCAATTTAATCATAATTACCTGAAAACAACAACCAATGTGCTCAATTCCTGTATTGTGACACACACTTCAGTCAAAACACATACACATATTAGTGAAAATGTTATTAGTTTTCATTCAAACTACAAAGTCATCAATGATCAGACACTATTGTTGACAGTTTCACTGCTGTGATTAATAAAAAAGCTGATTCTAGGAAAGAGCATGTGATAGATTTTTGGTCAGATGTTGTTATGTAAGGGATAATTTAGATGGGGAAAAGAAAATGGTGACAATCCCACAATATGCTTCATAATTAGTTTGAGATATAAGGAGAATGTACACAAATAGACCTGTACTACACTGCACACCTGAATGTTTCAAGTATTTATGTAAATTCTTACAGTATTTCATACTATAATCAGTTACAGTAATCAACTAACAATGAAATCAATGAAACAAATAAAATCTGTAGACAAATAAAAATTACTGCATTGCACTTTGAGGAAAAACTACAGCAACAAGAACCTTGTAACTGTCCGTCCCTCTGTCCGGCTAGATCACCCATAGGGCCACAGGTCGTAAACTTTCCATCGCCATGCTGAAAAAACTCTCTCGGATTCAGGTGGTGGGAGTATGGGGGGGAAGGTGTAAGACTTCAAATTTAGGGTGCTCACAGAACCAGTTCTGGACCAGAGCAGCCTGATGGAATCAGTCATTGTCCCAAACGACAGTGTAGGGTTCACTTGGTTTCATGCAGTGACAATCTTGTGTAATCTGTCAAAAAATGTAAGTTTTAGATTTGTGTTACAGTGTCCTGGATTTGAATGGTGGTGGAGGGCTCGGTTTTGTGTAAACAGCAGTGCAAAGGGTGATGTTGCCCCCCCCCCCCCCCCCCCCCGTTCAACAACATTTCTCCCTCTTCTTCTGTTTTTCACAAGGGTAAATCCAGCCCATCCACACATAAAAGTTCAAGTTGAATCTCTGCAGCATCCATTTGCAAGACTCTTTGAGACACACTAAAAGTCAATAGGATGCTATTCAATATCTAATGCACAGTATTTGTTTGTGCCAGAACATTATGAGCAGTGCACAGTACCACACTATTGTAAGATGAACAACAACACACTCATTCAGCAGATGTTTCACTCTCTCTGAATTTCTGTCAAATGGTACCCAATGCAACTGCTTCATGTATAATTGGTTTTTCTTGATGATTCGAACCAACGTTGACAGAGAGACACGTTGGATGTTATTGAAAACATGATGTCACTGATGATATTGGCTTGGATTTCTCACAGCCTGATACAATTACTGGTCAAAACCATGTTCACATCAATGGTTTCATGTGCACGAGTGAACATAGAGCCTCTTCCATCTTGGTGTCCTCGATCCTCAATCCCATGTAAAAAGTATATAAAAACATACACATTCAGCCTATTAATGGACACAGTAAGCTGTGTAGTGTGGTTAGCTTACCTTTATTCCACCTCCTTCATCTCCTCTTTGAGCTCCCCCTCTCACTCTTCTTGTTCTAGCTCCTTCCATTTTTGCTGAAGACAGGTGAGCTCACCTGCTGCCTTTTATATCACACCTGAGTGTTGCGGTTTCAAATTAGCACGTGTGCTTCCACACCTGTTGGATGTGATTGTCTGATTCATTCATTAGTGTGGTCACTGGCAATCCGGGGCTTTGTAATAACAAGGAAATAACCTCTAAATCACTATCTGTGTCTAAGGTGGGAAAATACGTGAGTTTTACAAATGCCTGTGTAACATTTTGCACAAAGGGTGAAGCAGACATTGTGTGTGATGTGCAAATCTGTGGAGGTGTTTTGCTCCTTGGAGTAGAAATTTCCAAATGGTGTGGAAATGTTTATTTTGGTGAGTAAGCGATCATATACACTGTAATAAAAGATTGCTGCCCACTGTGATTTTTCTGCCCATCTATAACTTTCCCATCCATTTCTCTTTCTACGCTAATGAGAGCCACAGCCCTTGAGGAAGAGAAACACCCCACAACAGGATGCTGCCACCTCCATGCATTAGTGTAAGCATGCTGTGTTGTGGATGGTGAGCTGAGTCGGATTTATGTCATGTTTGCCAAAAACAAACCAGTAAATCAGAACCAGGACCCTTACTGACAGATGACCACATGTCAACAGCAGAGTGTGTTACTTTTTCTCATCATGTGAAATCTGCTGGTCTAACAGTTGCAGGAAGTGAAACTCTCATCAGATCAGATGCTACTGCGCTCAGACTCGGAGCCCGTCACATTTCCTGTTCTGTGATGGAAAATAAAAGCGTTGACTTTTAGTGGGCAAAGAAACGCAGACATTCTGCGTCTCTGTGGGCGATTGATCAGTTCCATGGGTGGGAGGAGATGTGGAGAAACCCATGCAGGATGGGAATGAAATAAAAGAAAGCCTTAAGCACTTCCTGTGTGAGACGTCCTTCTGCTGTTGGATTACATCAACTGTGGGAAGTTGTTACTCAACTGTTTTATTGTTATTTAATAAACTTACAATTATTTTAACTGAAATCAAGATGGAAACCAGGTTGGTTTCGGTCTTTGGTGTTTTTAGTAAGCAGGGGATTCTGTTGATGCTCTCTGTCAGAGGGAGACCCAGTCAAAACGTTCAGCTAGCCCACCTCACCGTTCCATGTCTCTGTTTCAGGTGTGAGTCACTCACAAACACACCTGCATGGGCTTCCCTGTTATTAGTCACACAGGGGGTCTCCAACCTGAAACCTGGCTTTGTGCACAAGTGTGTGTGTGTGTGTGTGTGTGTGTGTGTGTGTGTGTGTGTGATAATGTTGTGGGTGACCAGGGGAAGCCGGTGGCTGTACAACAACAGTCAGAAGACTCATCTTGACGCTCTGATCATGACGGCGTTATGAACACCAGTAAGATATGTTCGCTGGTTCTTCACCAGTTCAGCTCACCCTATTATCGCTTGTCTCCTGTTGCATTATGGGAAGAGAAGGTGTCAGATGGAAATGGAGAGCACCAAGAGAAGTAAGTAAGGATGGAGAGCTGTGAAACGCATTTGGGTGTGAACACACACACACACACACACACACACACACACACACACACACACACACACACACACACACACACACACACACACACACACACACACACACACATCCTGATCAGTTTTCTCTGAAACTAAGACTTCCTGTTAGATCTTTATAGCATTTGCTACTTAAAATTAATTTTAAAAAGCAACAAAAAGCTAACAAAAAAATAATAAATTACATTTTCCAACTTGCAATTTTGATCTTCATTTTAAACATGAATAATTTGTTATACAGGAACGTTAAAGTACCTTTTTACTGCAGCTCATGACTTCAGGTTTTGACTTTTAATTTATAAAAAGAAAGGATTTTGACCTTTGAACCTTCACAGAAAGCAACTAAACAAACACTTAAGTCTCTAAAAAGGACAGAGAAGGAAAAACCAATCATATCATTAAAATCAATCTGATCCTATAAGTAATCAATCAGTTCAAATTGTTTTTGTCAATCGTGTCTTGTGATTCGTTAATATTATTCAAAGTGGCTGTTTGATGATAATTTAGGACTCATTTTGTAACATTTCTCATCTGTAGACAGATTATTATGTGAAGCAAACGTGGTAAAAGTTTGATTCTGAGGCTGATTTCTAGCCCAACTTTCATCTCAACATTTATGCTAAGTTAAAAGTCTCACGCTTACGGTTCTAATCATGTAAAACAAACAGCAACAGGCAGTAAATTCTGTTTCTGTAGAACATTTATGTTTCGTTTTCATGAACTTGTTTTATCTGTGCTGCAAAGTTTGGTTTCTCTACTTAAATTAGATTTCTCTGGAGAATTATTAAGGACTTATTAAGTGATTTAATGTTTCTGAATAAAACGTGATCAGAAAAACCTTTTAGACTTAACACCGTTGATGGTAAACTGAAGGTGCAATATGAAGGCATCTGTATGTTTATGTAGATTTTCATACATACGCTGTGCTATTGTGGCAGAAATCAATCATTTTCAACGTATTTCTAGTTTCCAGTTGTTCATGTTCTGAAACTGATGAACAAAGAAACTTTAAACCTCGGCAGAACAATAAATAATAAAAAATGTTCTTTTTGAATGTTGATCTTGTTTTTATGTCAAATGTTGGATGTGTGAATTTAAACATTCTGGAGGCATTTTAATTTATTTCTGTGTTCTCAGGAGAATTTTACTTTTAAAGTACTTTTCTTGGATTTAATAACTACCGGTATTTAAGTAAAATGTATTTTTCATTATGATTCTCTGGTTTTTATTTTTCACAACAGGATTTTAGTGAAATTAAATTATATGAACTCTCGCATGAGAATGATTTGAAATGCATCTGATCTGATTTTTTGTTTATAATGAATTAAAACAAGAATCATGGGTTTTATATTCATTATAACATTGTTTTCTCTAGTTTTTCTTAACCTCTTGAGACTTCCTCGTGTCTTTCTCTTACCGTCTCTGCCTCTCAGTGCTTGTGGTTCAGTTTGTGGTTTCTCTCGTGGTCGTTTTGTTTCAGAGACGAGATGAAGAGCTCAAAGCTTAGCGATGCGATGGCATCTGAGTGAACATGGCTCTTTGTCTCCAGCACACAGGAAGGAGCAGCGCACACTCCCAGAGACCCGCACAGCCACAAACTCCCTCCAGTGTTTGCACTCATACACACACAGGTGTGAGCCTGAGCTGCATGACTAATTAGACTGCAGCCACGCATCGCTGTAAACGCTGCCCGTATTTTAGGATTAAAACCCAAATGTCTGTTTGCACATGAAAGGAGACGGTTTAGACAGAAACTGAATATGATGCAAGTTCACAGATCAAAACTAAAGGAAGAAACCGAACCCCTGTCACTCACCTACTCACCTTCCGCTGAACACAATATTGACAATGGAAGTACAACTCCCACTCCCAAACCTGTCCACACACACGCGCGTGCATCAACACACACTTTAAAGCAGAACCTCAGTCATCTGCGCAAAACTCATGGAAACAGGAGCATCAGCTGACCTCTAATTTGTAACTGTTAGTCTCTACGATGAGACCACCAAAGGCCCCTGAATATCACCGTAGGTGACACCATCTTGGAGTTTTATCTGGTTAAAAATACAACTCCATGGTTTCTTAAGAAAACACAACTTTATTGATTAAACATAATTATAGTCATGAAAAATGAAAAATATGGTAACGTTTCCTTTTACAGTCCCCTAATTACTGGTAATTACATAGTAAGTTAAAGTTTATTATTGTGTAATTTAAGAGTACAATTGTAATAAAGTGTAATTATTGTGAAGCAGTTTTTACTGGGAATTAATAAAATAAAAACTGGAATTGAACCTGAGTTACATGGTAATAACTGTTTAAGAACTCAGAAACAATAATACACTGTAACATACAATGTAATTACCATGTAAGTACTTAGTAATTAGGGGGCTGTAATAGGAAGCGTAACCAAAATATGCTTTTTTCTTAACGTCTATTTTTGCAAAAGTGCAAAATATATACAGAAAAGAGCAAACAATCTAGAAAATAAGCTTTTCGGAATATGTTTCAGTTATTTTTTTAGGAAATTAACTGATTTTGACTTGTTGAAAAAATTAGTTCTTAAAATAATTTGAGAAAGAATAAACCCACTTCATCTCAGTTAACTATGACCAGCTACAAAAGTAGTCTGTCTGAAATGTGACAGTGCAGCTGATGGGAGTCCAGGTTTATGAAACATAAAACAAAAGTTTGTTTTTATATCACAGTATGTTACACTGCTGCAGCTCTCTGGCTGCAGACACGTTTCACTGTAAATCAACATGAGAAGATCTTCATGATGTTGGAGCCCCACGAGACTCGCTGCTCCGTTAAACCGCTTCAACGTCTGCAGAAAAAGACATTTTATTCAATTTTACTCAAATTTCATGATAGATCATTCAACGTGTAAAAGAAACTTACAATTAGTCCAATAAAAGCTTTATTTACATCGGCCTTTTCCTTAAAGGAAAGAAAACAAAATTGCACTTTATCAGCACAAACAGTTTGTGGAGAGAATTTTATTTTCATTAAAAAAACATCAAAATTTTACTGATTATGATTTCAGCTTCTGGACTTACTTCATAAAGTGGTGATGACATTTCTTGGGTAGTCCTGTAAGCAAGAACAACACATAAGTTCAGATGTAAATATAAATCTAAACTGCTCACATATTCAGATTGTTTTGATGAACCTCGCTACACGGACGACACAAATCTCTGCAAATAGTTGTTTTCCTTTTCAACGAAACTTACGACTGAAGTAATGCAGCGTGCAGACCAGACCCAGAGACAAGCTCGAAATAAGTCCAACGAGTGGCCACAGAACCAGGGAGTGGCAACCACCTGGAATAAAAACACACTCATGATTAGTGGGTTTTTAAACGTGTGACACTCCTAGGTTTCTCTGTGTTTCTGCACAGACAGATATTAAATCCTGTAATGATATGTGGTTGTGTACAGGACAGAATAATGCATTAAAACAAAGTGAAGAGCATATAACCTTTATATTTACACATGAAACACAAAGCTGTTGAAAGGCCATAATGACTTACTCGTAGGTTGATTCTTTGAGGAACAGGGACAGTGACGTGGTTTATGCTGGACCTTGGGTGGAGGAGATGTTGGAGGGGTCACTGCCGAATAAAAAAAAGGTGTTAAAAAAAATCCCAGCAGGAGTGAAGCAAAGATCGAAGGTGATCAGTCATGAATGATAAGATAGCGAACAGTTTTCTCTTCCGATTCCTCAAATCCCACTCATAGATGTTTGTGTGGCGATAAATGCACCAGATTTAAACAGATGTTCAATTTAATGTGGAACGACGGTGGCAGAGGAGGTAAGTGCCATTCTCATAACTGGAGGGTTGCAGGTTTGAGTCCCATTCAGTCTGTCGCTGTCGTGTCCTTGGGCAAGACACTCAACCAGCATTGCCTGCTGCTGGTGGTTGGAGGGACCGGTGGTGCCTGTGATCGGCAGCCTCACCACCCAAGAGCAGCTGAGGCTACATTGTAGCTCATCACCACCAGCGGGTGAACGTGTGTGTGAATGGATCAATTACTGCATGTCTTGTGAAGCGCTTTGGGGGGTTATAGGACCCTAGAAGGCACCATACAGATACAAGTCACTTATCATTTATTGTTCAACAACAAAGGCTCTGAGCTAAAAACTGGCTAACCCAAAATGTGCCACACCCCTATTCATACCTCTTATTGTGATGACCAGGATATTTGAAGTGTCTGCTAACATAAAGTTATAAAAGTGTGATCCTAACACAAACATTAGAATCTATGTGTGTAGTTTGATTATTAATTTTTGAAGATTAGTGAACAAAGGAGAGTTTTGTTGTAGAAAGGGGAGAATTTAAGTAGAGTGTTTGCTGGGCGAACGACGACCAGTTTATTTGTCCTTGATACAACAGATTAAATATTACCTGTCTAAATTCTTTATTTCCCCCAAACACTTAGAATCAGTCAATCATGTATTGATTTCCTGACCTTTAACTCTTAAATGAAGAGTCCGTAACTTCGTCGTACTAACCTCCAGGCTGTAGCAAAACTCCTGGGTGAAACACTTCTACCGAGCCTCTCTCGTCTCTTGGGATGCAGGAATAAATCCCCGCGTCCTCCTCTGTGACATTGTGGATGCGCAGCAGAAAGGTTGACATGCCTCTCTTGCTGAGTTTAAAACGTGAATGGTCCACAGCTCCCCAGCTAGTACGGTCCGCATTGTTGCATTTCCCTATAAACTCTACTTGATCCTTGCTGGGAACGGTACGAAACCAGAAGACTACGTTACAGGAGATGTCACGACATTTACACTCAATGGTCTCATTACTCAAGATCTCTGGGTAAAGAACTTTGACGGGATCTTGTTGAAGCATCTGGCTCGAACCTACAGAGTAAAAATGGAGGCAAGAGGAATATTTTAGTGCAAATGCATAAAAAAAACACAACTTCACAGTCAAGTATGGGATTTTAGGACGATTAGGTCTTCACTTAAGGTCACGGAAACAAATCAAAACCAAAAAGCCCCAGAACTGTTTTATTAAAGTAGATTTAGTACATTTTAGGAAGCTGGCAATGCCACCGTTTATTCATAAAGCGTCTAGAAGCAGCGTTTGTTAATTTGTGCACAACAAGACGAAGACTGCATTATTGTCAAAGTAGAAAAACAAACCAGACCTCAAGGAAAGTAATAAATAAAAGATGTTAACACTACTGGTAGTCTAAATAGAGAGAAACCAAACTATGAAGAAATCCTCTGAATTTGTGACATTTTGAATTTACCGACGAGAATGTTTAAACTTTAGGAGAGGCCTTAGATGGAAGAGCTATTTGATCTAAACTTAGAATCCTCTCACATTTGCGTCTTTTATGAAGCAGACGTGTGTGCACATACCTGTTGCAATAACTGTGTTGTGAAATGTCTAAAGGTGAGCCACTGACTGCGTGAGATGAAATAAACTTCAATCGGTTTTCAACTCCTTTGAATGCTTACATGTTTAGCATTTAAGGAACGCAACAGAAGACGTGACAATCAAAAATGCACCAAAGCAGCATTCTCAGTACTAATACAATAAACTAATACCGTACAATAAAAACTGACCACCGCCGTACGTAGGCCTATCGCGGTAGAAGTATCACTGGTTACACACTTATATTTTTGAAGGCTGCTAGTAGCCACGCCATTGATGTAAATGTATGAACATTTCTATTCTGTCCAGTTTTACTGTAAATTTTGAAAATAATATGAATAATGAAACATTGACGTATCAATTCAAACAGATGTAGGGTTTAAACAATCACAAATTATAGCTTATAGAAATATACTTAATCTAGATATATACGTAATCATGATGGAAGTAACAGGACACTGTGATTAATGAAGGTATAGCAGTAAAACATCAGTTAGACGACGGTGGTCTCCTTGACTACAGGCCTGTTGCAGAGAGATGATGACAGCAATGAAGGTTTATAATAAACTAACACATAAAGGGAGTTCTCCGTACTTACCCAACGTCCATGAGGATACCATCAGTAGAATCCACGCCTGCTGCAGACGGATCATTTTGTCAAGTCGCCAGTGTGTTTAAGTGTGTGTGATGCTGAAGGAAGGTGCTGTTACTTTCTGTTCCTGTTATCTGTCTGTCAGAAAAGATGGGAGGACCTGTGCTGACAGGGCCTTTAGTCTTTAAGGTACCACCCCAATGTGACACACACGGGACCTATCAGGTTGGCTCCAAACGTATGAGCCAACTTTAATCGGAAATTCATACTTGAGAGCTACATTTTGAGCTCGTTAGTCACGTGTAAGTGTTGAAATGGGTAAGTTCTTTGAATTTTAAACTGAAAAGTATCTGAAATGGTTTGAAACGCTGATGAACATCTGCAGATTAGGGTGTAAATGTTTGCATTTGTACGTAAAGAAAACAACTCTGATGGGTTCCTGACAAACGACTGGTTTCACAAAGAGCAGCCTGATGAAAAGATGCTTCATGAGCGTTGGCCACATATAAAAAAAATCAAAACATGAAGTTGTTTATTCCCACAGCAGCAGTTTGCAGGGCTGTGGTCTCGCCCCAGGTGTGTGACCTACAGTGCAGCGGAGCAGCTTCGAGTCTCAGAGGGGAGCGACGGCAGGCGAGGAAGAAAATTCATGTTCCAATACGGATCAACTTCCAGGAACCAATTAGAGATATTTATTTTTAAAATATGCTTTGCTGTTAAATATGTACTAGTGTCTCAGTTCACCATTTAAACATATTTTAGAAGTGATAATAAGTAGAGGAAACATTTAGAGAAGCACGTAGCCCCCGACACACGTATTAAATCAGCAACAACACTGTGTGTAATCAGATCATCCTGCAGCTCGACACGCTGCATGAAAAGTCAACAGATAAAGTCTGTTTGAAATTTCTGCAAAGTGTCCATCGTTTATGTGCGACTATAGCAAACCCAACACTGTTTCTGCTGTCGTCGCCAAAAAACACACTAAATCCTCCAAAACATTCAAGTGGACCCAAAGTTTAAAATACTTTGGAACTACACACAACCACATTAAATCCTAACACCTGACCATTTTAGTAACTTCCTTTGGCCATATTTTTATGTCCTTACAGTTTTACCTTTAGGCTACATAAACAGATTGACTGTGGCTTCATTTTTGTGTTTCATTCCAGTTTGAACGAAAGCAGTGAAGAACTGTTGCTTTCATAGGTCATGAGTATTATTATTAGAGCTTTTTAAGAAGGTATACCCCCCAGCTTGGTGTTCACAATCGGCTGAATAAGAGCTTTTAATCGTACCCCATTTACAAAGTCTATAAGTGAACAGGTCTTTGAGTTCTTGGCATTATAAGATAGTAGTTGCCCGTGAATGTCAGGCTGGGTCCTTCTCTGTGTTTAAATTTTAGCGTAAAGGCCAATTTTTTTCTGTGCAGCATTCCCCGCTGATGGTTTACATGACTGGTGTAGTGGCACTTTTTATTTTGCTACTTTTAACCAGTGTTTCAGTTTTATTTAATCATTGTACCGATGTATTAACTTCTGTGTTTGTACTATCCTGTGTGCTTCCTGCACTGATGAATGCTATATAAATAGAATTGATGACTAATACTATTAATCAGACATCTGATCGTTTGTCTCATGCAAGCTACCGTAAATATTAATGCAATGAAAAACACAAAAGTTGAAATTCTATCATTTAGCTGGGAAAATATAAGTAACAAGTCTGATTTATTTTGTCTGAATATCACACGTTTTAGACAAAAAACTCAAACTACGTAACTTCATTTTACAGACAAATGTCCATTAGTAGTGCTCCAAAGTCCTAAAGATCTTGTAAATGATCTAAAGGTTGTATTAAAGGTTGGGGTGCAGAATGGTCTAGCGGGGGTCCTAAAGTGAGAGGATGTGGGTGGCCTACAGCTTTACGGGGGTCTGAGATCTGAGCAACAGAGGGAACAAGACCACAGGATTCTTAGAAAACAGGAGATCTCAGGGGGCTTAGAAGTGTGCTTCACACATCGTGTAGCCGAGAAGCCTTTGTTGGTCTCTGCATCTACGCTTGAAGTCGAGCACTATGAGCTGATCCGCCTTTTTTCATGTTTACTTTACATTACTTTATAAGTTTCAGTGTCTGCTAACACAGTATTTTTATATGCTACAGAATCGTAACCGATGGTGTAGTGTAGATCCCAACGAGTACTACTGCCTTTGTGTAGTTCCAGGTCCAGGCGTCTTTCAGGTTTTCACTTTAAAGCCTTTGTCATCTGTAGTAGAATCAACTTTTGTTCTGCCATGTTTGGCCTCGTCTTTCCCACAGCAGCACGCTCGGTTCTCAAACTGAAGGTTTTTAGTACAAATAAAAACATGAAGGCAATCAGTTCTGAGCAAAATCTTGCTTTAAATATTTTTGCTTACACAGATTTTAACTATCCAACATATTTCCTTAGAAACACGTCTGATGTTGTCAAAACTCCAAAGCAGGGGTGGGGAACCCTGGTCCATCGAGGGCCGCTATCCAGCATATTTTAGTTTCAACCCTGCATCATCACACCTGATTTCCATCAGCAGGTGATTAACGGGCTTCTGTGGAGCCTGATGAGCTGCTGAACAGGTGAATCAACCACTGAATCAGAAGTGTTGGGGCAAAGACGTGCAGGATACCGGCCCTCGAGGACCAGGGCTCCCCATGCCTGCTCCAAAGGAAGCTTGTTTTTACACTTCTCCCATGTTTCTGGACTCTTCTTCATTCATGCAAAACCTTTTTGAGTCAGTACTTTTCTCCCAGATGTAGCTTTTATTTTATTTGTATAACTTTGTTTTTCTGCTCCACAAGCAGCCTTAGATCACCTCATCTCGTTCTGTTTCTAACCATGAACTCTGAGGTTTGTAAAGTTGTGCTCATTTAAACTTTTGCACCTGTATGACACCAAACACATTATGTGCTGTTTGGATGTGCAAATACACACACAACACAGGCACACCGTGCACTAAAGAGGGAGGAAATGCCGTCACGCTGCATTTTTAAAACTTTTTATACTGCATCTTATACTTCTTATCTGGTGCAACATGCGCAACAAAGGTTGTTATTTATTTGGTATCACATGTATTTATCATACAGAAAACCTTTTCCATCTCTGCACCAGTGAGTTAAAACTCAAACTCCAAAGAGCAGAAATGACCACGCTTTTAGCATCTCTGGGCTTTTATTCGCTTTGCTAACGGCTGCAGGGATTATAATCCCATTCCTGCCAGAAAGTCAGCTTTTAAAAACTAAAGCACACTTTATGTTGAAAGGCAGGAACACAATATAAACACTGCAGCCAGCATCAGACCTACTGTTAGTGTTATAATGTAGAGAAATAAACACTGAATTAAAAATAAAATAAAAATTTAAAGACGATGATGAAACCGTGCTAGCCAGCTAGCACGTGCTGATGCATCACCACGTTAGGATTGGAATATATCCTAAAAATGCTGACGTTGTCTAGGATGATACAAACAGTGTTTGTGCAGCGTGATGAAGTGAACTGGAAAAGGTGCTACTTTAACATCCCAGGATAGAGACGTCCCACAGCTTCTCCTCCTCCGTCCGAAGGTCTACCTTCTCTTTGCCTTTCCTTTTTTCTTTCCCGTATTTAGTTTTGGCTGCTCTGTGCCGTCTCTCTCTCTGGTCTGTATTTGTTTCAGCCTGCAGCCGAGTCTCGTTCCTGTTCTCCATCACGTCTTCTGTCTGGGTTTTACCACCTGATTCAAAGTTCTCCTGCTGTTTTTCTGGTCTCAGCTTGTTGTGACTTTTTATCTTTTTTCTCCTCCCTTCCTCCACCGACTCCTCACACGGGTCTCTTCTCACCTCCCCAGAGTCATGATCTCTCTCCCTCCTTCGGCGTTTCCTCCTTCTGTGCTTTCTTCTTTCCTCCATATCTGACTCCTCGTCTCCGTCCTTCCCACCTCTGTCCCTCCTGGATTTTCTTTTCCTCCTCGCGTCTCGGAGCCTGTGTTCACTATCCTCACTTCTACTTGTGTGAGAGCTGTCAGAAGAATAGGACAAGCTGGTGCAGGAACTAGAGGGGGTTCTGGGCCTCCTGTGTCCTGTGGGCTGACTGGGGAACAGTGGGACACCATGAACTGGGAGCGGTGGAGGATAGTGACAATCCCAGCCACGGGCGGGCCAAGGTGGACCAGGGTATGAAGGATGCCTCATTCCAGGCGTGAGCTGACGAGCCCGTTGGTGGTTTTGAGTGAAGCCACGCACAGATTCAGATGATTTAAAATCATTAAACTCTGTTAAAACTTCCTGATCGCACTCTTCTTCAGTGCCTTCCTGAGGGAGAGTCTGACTGATTTTGGGAGTGACTCCCCGAGACTTCTGTGCTTGAATGTAATCAGCCAGCTCATCAGCAAACGTGCTGTAGGCCTTTGGTTGTGATTTGAAAAGATCATTGATCTTCTTCCCCCTGGTCAAACACACAGAAATACACATCAGTGCAGCTTCTGCATAAAAACTTAAAATGCTTAAAAACTCATTCAAATGAGGTAATCTGGACACTTTGATTATAAAATCTAACAGAAAAAGATTAAAACTCTTGTGTACATGACGGTCAATAATCAAATCTATCTGTGCTTTAATAGCTTTGATCTGTATACTCACCAGCGTTTTCTGGTCTTCCTTCCTGCTCTCGTGACCGTGACTGGTCATCCGATACGACCTCCACTTGTTTTTCATAACTGGACCCTTAAACCATAACTTTTGGTTAACCTACTGTGGCGTTGGACATGCTGCTGTAGCAGATTCTGTGTCCATCTGAAAGTCTACTTCAGGTGTTACTTCCTGCTTCCTAAATGATAAATGTAGAACATGCAACTACATCTGTGGTTTCTGAATCCTGACAGAATCAGCAAACTGTGTTTTGTTCCATTTGCACCCAAAGCCATTTTGACTCAGCAATTATACCGATACCTGGTATTAAACCACCTGAAATGCCCACCGACTACTGAGCAGCCCTTTTCTGGATCTCAGTGCCGAAGTTAGAATACAAACTTTCTGCAGCAGAGTTGGAATTGGATCCACAGAAGAAGTGATGATCACTTGAGTAGATCTTACTTGATCTGATGTTTGTTTCCATGCATGTGGGCCTGGTACATCTCCACAGAGTTTAACTTCACATCACACCTGTGACACACCAATGAATCGTCTGGAGGCAAAATCAAACAGAATTGGAAGATTAAAAAACGGCTAATTGAATTCAGCCAAAATATTTCAATTGGATCACAGTAATCAGAAATTTTCCTTTCTACCTCAGACCAAATCTAAAGTAAAGAGATAAAATAAACACTGATATGTGATTATTAGATGTAATTTTGTCTTTAAGCTCTCTATTGCAAATCGAGTTTTAGGATGTTTACAGAATCACACCGATCCAAAACAATGAAGATATAAGTGATGAAAACAAAAGTTAAAAAGTAGAGAAAGATCAAATTTTGGATTGTAAGTTTCAGAGGTGTTACCAAGTCATTGCTTTGCAAGTCACAAGTAAGTCTCGAGTCAAGCCCAAGTCAAAGACAACCAAGTCCAAGTCGAGTCCAAAGTCAATGATGTGAAAGTCCAAGTCAAGTCCAAGTTCTTAACTTTGAAATTTCAAGTCATAATCAAGTCATCTGTCCAACTTCAATTTAATGACAATGATAATGAATAAATTCCAGAATTAAAGCTTCTTAAAGCTTCATTTATTTGCTCCAACAAGCAGAAACTGAAATTGATTATAAACAAAGTGCTGCTGCATTTAGCAGTAAATCAAACCCAGAACGAAGAATGATTTATGATTTTTGTCCATGTCGGGCCATTTTTGTGCTTAAATATCAAATATGCTTAAGTCATCACCAAGTCAACAGATGCAAGTCGATTCAAGTCGCAAGTCATTGGCGTTCAAGTCCGAGTTGCCATAAATCTTTAAAGATTTTATCAAGTCAAGTCAGATGTTATTAAAATAATGACTAGAGTCTGACTTGAGTCCAAGTCATGTGACTCGAGTCTACACCTCTGGTGAGTTTTCTAAAGACACATTAGTTCATTTTGGATAAAATAACAAATACATGAATAATTGACCCACATGACCCCCCCCCCCCCCCACCCCCCCCCCACCACCAAATAAAAACAAGCTACTTAGGACCTTTAGACATTTCTTATGAGGGTTACATTGTACAAAACGAGACATAAAAATGAGTCAAGGGTGAAGAAGGCGAGACACCCCTACACAAGAGACCTCCAGGCGAGATGCGCTCCTGGAGGCTGAGCGTCACCGGTTCCAACTGATTTTTTTTTTCTACTGTTGGTGGTGTCTGGGGCATCTTAAAAATCCTTGTGACAATTTCCCCAGTGGATAATAGTGAAACTGGTTAAACTGTAAAAGCCGGCCTCGCTGTATACTTTTCCTTAAGTTTGTGATGTCACAAATATTTAGAAATGTTTGATTTTAGGTACACGTTTAAAAAATCAGGGGTATTCAATTCCGGGCCTGGACGGCCGGTATCCAGCACATTTTAGTTTTAACCCTGATTCAACACACCTGATTTCAATCAACAGGTAATTAACAGGCTTCAGCAGAGCCTGATGGGCTGCTGCAGGGTGATTCAACCACTGAATCAAGTGTGTAGGAGCAGGCAAACCACTAAAACGTGCTGGATACCAGCTCTCCAGGACTGGAATTGAATACCCCATAAATGGATGTCTTTTTCCACATTTGGAGCATTTATAGATGCAGTATAGACCCACATGGCAGCACAAAGGAATACAAAAGGTGTTTGTTTAATAATATGTCACCTTAAAAATGTATTTTTATAAATTTTGTCGCCAATATTCTCCCAAAATAACTACTTTTCAGAATAGCTTCTCCTTGTTACCCATAGAAGATCCTGTTGTACCTAGCTGATTCTCATCTCCAAGCTCTTTCAGCAGCTCCTGCCTGGCCTGCTTTTTCTGGTGTTTACGTCCGTTATAGTGCTGCAGCGCGGTCTGCGGATCGGTGAAGGACACCGTACAAAGACAGCAGTACTTGTTGGGATCTTTCAGGTCAAACTCAGCACTTGTAGAAGCTGAAGCAGCTGTTGTGTGTATCTGGAGCCGGTCGTCACTCTCTTGGGCTGATTTCTCTTCAGACTTCTCAGGATTCTGTGTCAGACATAATGAAGCACAAACTCCTGTATCCTTGGCTGTAAAATCAACAGGAAAAGTAAAATAAATTAATAAAATAAATCAGCTTTTTGCTTGTTCTGAAATTAAATATAGGCTGAATAAATTAGTGAATAAGCCAGATGTGGGGACAGAAAAGTTCATTTGAGGTGATTTAAATCCAGATCATAGGAATTCTTTCCGGTCACATAATCACTTGCCTGATAGGTGAAGGCTCTGTTTACGTAGATGTTTAGCGTGGACTTTGCCCTCATAGTGGGATTTTGCCACCACGTCAGAGTTAAACACCATGTTACACAGCTCACAGAAACGGTTTTTAGAACTGGACATTGTCTGCTCCCAAAAACAGAGTGTGTTATTATAGTGGTCATGTGATCAAACAAGCTTTCTGACAAAATAATAAAGACATGCATGCATGTTTAACCAAATCACTGTTTTTTATTGTGAAAGTGCCTCTGACATTTTGGAAAAATAGAACCTCAATGCACTGATCCTAAGTACTAACCTGGGACGTTCGGGTCTTCTCTCCTCTAACCGTGTCAAGGTACATCCTGACTTTCTGATTATGTTTTTTTCCCTGCAGTTGAAGGATATTTGAGGAATCATGTGTAATCAAACCTCTTTTTTTGGGGTAAAAAAATACAGTAAGAAAATGACCAGTTCTGCATCCTAGATACATAAAGCACATTGTACCTCGTAGTGGGAGAGCCGATGAGACTCAAACATCAGCACTGAGGAGCACACATAGCAGTAAGCGTCAGTCAGAAGGCCCTTTAGTAACTCCTCATCACTCTTTTCTGTGGATCAAAATGGTTATATAAAATATATTTATCATAATATAGTGCTTGTATAATAATATTGTCTAAAAATCTCCATAAACCCCGTGTTATACTCATGCTCATCTTAAATTAACATACCTATATAAACTGCTAAATAACATTTTTTAAGTAGCAATAAACGAGATGCATGTTTGTTCCGATAAAGAGAGACTTGGAAAAGATTTAGTGCAAATAAACACCAGATGTTTAATAAATGTGTGCAGCATGTTAAATTGCTAAACACGTTTAGGGAGTTGACTTCCTGTTCTGCTCATTCCAGACCTGATGCGTGTTTAATTTGATGTTGATGCACTTTTCTTGCAAAAGGAAACACACCAACCCATTAGTGGACCCACTGAATCATTGAACTTGGGTCAAATTTCCACTACAGAAAACCCCCCAAACGCAATAAAATTAAACTGAACATTTTAAAATCTAATGTTCCATTTTAATAGACTCCTATTTTGTAGGAACTAACTCACGAAGTACATTTCTAAACTGTGTATTTTTTTACCTGTCAAAACAATATGATGCATCCTAAGTAGTCCTAATTGTGTAAAATAAGCATTTACCATAAACATTTATTGTATGTAAAATTGCTGCCTGCAAAAGTCTGATATGCTCTTTTCTCTTCCAAAAAGTGTAAAAATTTAGGGTAGCTCAAGTAAAAGTTATTCTACTTAATAAACATGATGCAAAAGTCTAATAAATTGATGAATGTGGCATTTGAAATCATGACAATTATATTATTGCTGACTGAAAATGTGTCACTCAAGCAGTAATAACAAATCTCTAACGTGTGTCTATTATTATATATAACTGCACTATAAAAGGGGCTTTTCAAAGGTGCTGATCAAGGGGGAAATAACATGAAGCCCTTTAAAAAAGCAGCTTACTCCTTAATTATTTTATTAGAAGTTGTCCTTATTTTAAAAGCTTTTATTTTTCTTATATTAAAGAGGAAAACACACTAGTTAATCAGATTTATAAACGGGCTGCTAACCCAGTTCACTAAATACCTAAACCTTTTGCTTAAACTTTGAACCATTACGGCTCCCGTTACCATACATTGCTAAGAAGCAAAACTAGCTTAGAGCTAGTTGCTCAGTTAGCTAAACTTGTAATTCTAGTAGGTTCAAATGAAGAAAACTGAATTTAACCATGGAAGTTCAGCTGCCTTTATCTGAACCTACCAGGATTCCCTTGACCTGGATGACAGAAGTTTCACCAGCTTAGCTAAACAAGCTAGCGCTGGATCGACGGGAAGGGCAGAAAACGGCTTAACATTTACGTTCCACGCAGAACTCACCTTTAACCCGGGTACTACCAGTTTTACTGTTTATTACATTAGCAGCATCTATGACAGAAGCCACATTAAAGGGGGCAGTAACGTCAGTTTGCACGTCTGACTCCGCATCTCGCTGAGTACAAACGTCAAACTCCTCCATCTTTGCCTCTAGCTGCTTGGCGCAAGCGCAGTGAAGCTGTACTGAAATAAAGAATTCACAATAACAAGAAAAACTTTATTTAGCAAGGAAAATACACAAAATACCGTAAACAGGGACAACTATTGTCTTTAAATGAATTCACACAAATCTACACGCACTAAATAAACATACACATGCTCTACAATTATATTAAAATAATATTTCATAATTAAATTAAACATACGTACTTTAATGTATGTCACAATAATTTATTACTGAAAACAATTTTAGCGCAGAGTTGATTAATTGTAACATCCAAGTGTGTCTCCTTTTCAAATGAAGTGATATCAAAGAATAACAACCTTTTTAAAAATTAGTTTCAAATCTGATGCCAGTTCTTTTTGTGCATTTTCTGTTGAATGACCTTAGCTCAACCTGTAGGGTGTAAAGAATTCTCTACACCTTCTAATTTGTCAAAGTTCTCTGTGTTGTTAGTGTTGAGAGTTAGGTACACACCTGTAAAATGATTCTAAACATTAAAAATGAGAAACTTAACAGGTTGGTATCAAAATAGACACTTTATTTTGGAATAACATAGGCCTAGTATCTGTTTGCCAGAGAGCAAAAATGTTGCAAAACAGAAAAAAAGAATGTCATTTGAAATAAAAAATAAATGAAACAACTACACTCTTGAAAAAAACTAAAGATGAGCGTCATTATAGGTAGAAAAGCAGGGTGGGATTAAAAGGTATTACTTCCTCTTTTGGAGTCCTCTGGCCAAAGCATCCAGCTGTGAAAATAAAACATTTTACTGTGACATTAGGGTGAAGGCTAGACAATAAATTATTTATTTTGTGCACAGATATTAAGTTATAAATAGCTTTTGACAGGTAGTTTACTCCTGTTTTCATTTTTCCTTACAAAAATGTCTCTCAGAACATTCCTCCTCTGGGGTCTCAAGTAGCTGCATTCCCCTGCCTCGCACAATTTAATTTCCTCTGAAATCTGCAAAAAATAAAAATAAAATAAAAATAAAAGTGATGCCGATCATGAAAAACTGCTAAAAATATTTGTTTTTGGCCATAAAACTGTTCTTAGCCAGAGCCAATGACGCACATAGACACAAACACTGATCCCAACCTCTGATACTCCGAAGGAGTCGATCTCCCTTTTGCCTCCAGGGTACCAGCCATGAGACCAGTGCTGAGCATGGGACAGCTGAGCTCCCACATATAGAAGCAGACCCAGCAACAAAACCAGCCGAGACATGACTCTATCCTAAAAGCAACAAGATGCATAAAATGTTCAGCTTTTCTTTCTTCAAAGTCTTAAGAATCGTTATTTATTCCCTCTTTTAACAATAACTCCAGACTAAAATACCCAGACACGTTTCTGCCTTTGCAAAATCATTGAAAGCACCTTTGTAAAAGGTTTTAGCTGTAGTAGCTGAGGAAATGTTCATACCTCGGTTTTCGCACAGGTGTTCCTGCTGTAGAATAAAGCGCTTGTTCTAAAGGTGTTCAGGTGCTGAAGTTCTCACCAGCCTGTGGTTTCTCTACAGCAAAGATTCTCTTTCCCACCCTCGTTCTGATTCGTACATGTACCCCTCTTCCAACATTTAAAGGAGCTATTGTTGACCCTCAAATGTCAAGAGGTCCAAAGTCGGTCTGATTTCAATTATTAACTGCAAACAGCACTGACATCCCTTGGTTGCTCATCTTCTGACACAATTGACTCCGATTCTCCTCTAAACATAGTCTGATTGAAAATTAAATTATTCATTATATTTTAAGTTGCACCTTAAAAGATCAGAAGAACATCCCTGAAGTGTGAATTCTCCCTTTAGCATTTGTATCAGCCATATTCCCAAATAGGAATGTAAATGCCAAAAGCAACAATTTCGTATTTAAAAACAAAATCATGTCTCATCACTTTTGATTCCTTTGACCCCCGCTGACCTTTAATTGATGAGACATCCAGGAGCGTCTAATGACAGGAGGAACAAATACTGCAGGGTTCAGATCAGGTCAAAAGTGTGATCTCCAATTAGAGAAGGGACAACGTTTACATTTTAGAGTTGTAAGACTGAGAGCTGATTCAGCAAATGTAGAAGCTGTCTGCAGGACGTGGTGTGTACGTATTTTTTGTGCCTCTACTTGAAAATATACTTCATGCATGAAAGTGTAGCTGTTTTGCTGTTTTGATTTTTTGGCACAGCACAGCCTAAGACTAAAAAGAGTCTGGACCTTTCTAAGAAAAGTACATTTATAATGACTGTACCACTAATATTGGTCTAGTAGTTAGTAGTCAGCTTTTAATTTTTAACTTTTGATTTACATTAACATTGATTTGTCTTGTCTTTTATATGCAAGTTGTTGTTTTAACCCTGAAGTTATACTTCGGTATCAAAGAAGGCATGCTTCTGAGACTCTTGGTAATATTCCTCAAACTTGTCAACCTCTGGTTGGCTACACAAATCATAACATGAGAACATTAAAACCAGATCACTCTGCTGATTCATCAGTTCTAGAGAAAGCTTCAGACCGGCCATCTGAAGCAAAACCCTCTTTAACCATCAAAGCTTTTGACACGTCGTCAAAACCTTTTTGCACCTGCAAAGCTGATACCGCAAACAGTTCCTGCAGAACAAGCTGATCTTGTTCCGACAAAGAGTTCCAGACGTGCGGTTCCATCCATCTGCCGTGACCCGAGACATCTCTGGACTCAAGAGTCGGTGCCACGGCATTCTACAGCCCTTCGGTGCCAGAGGTCAGCCAACCTCTCTGACCTTCGGATCCGCCAAGAGGGTCTCCGAAACAGGTGAAGTAGACACACAGACAGCGTCTGATGTGCTTTTGATAATAATCAGTTTTATAGCTTAGCGCAACCCAAATTCTTTTACATCCAGAACTCAGCTCTCCTAGATACGGAAGTTCTGACCAACATCGCATTCACACATAGGTTTCATACATCACCTTTAGTTCCATCCATCACAGTAAATGCTTAGTTAACTTGTTATGTTTTAATTGTTGGAAAAATAAATTCTTACTTTTATAAACCTGACTCTTTTCTGAATCAAAACGAAGTGTGTACAATTCCTTAATAAATAAAGATTCCTAGAATCTTCTGATAAAGACCAAGCAGGGTTGATATTCTATATTTAGATAGAGTATCACAGCTTATTGGTCATAAGTAGAGGTAATATATATTGCTCTTAAAGCACTCACTTTATCAAACCCTACACTACCCGCACCTATAGTCATGAGCTTTGGGTAGTGACAGAAAGAACGAGATCGCGGACACAAGCGGCCAAAATGAGTTTTCTCCAGAGTGGTTGGGCTCTCCCTTAGAGATTGGGTGAGAAGCTCGGTCATCCAGGAGGGGCTCAGAGTAGATTCGCTGTGCCTCCACATCAGGAGGGGCCAGTTGAGGTGGCTCGGGCATCAGGTCAGAATGCCTCCCTGGTGAGGTTTTCCGGGCACATCTAACCGGGAGAAGGCCTAAAGGTAGACCCAGGACACGTTGGAGGGACTATGTCTCTCACCTGGCCAGGGAAAGCCTTGGGATTTCCCCTGAGGAGCTGGCCCAAGTGGCTGGGGAGAGGAAAGTCTGGGCCTCTCGACTTAGGCTACTGCCCCTGCGAGCCGACTCCGGATTAGCGGATGAAAATGGATGGATGGATTTTACAAGCTAATAAATCTGAAGTAAATGACAGACATAGTTGAAACACACATTACCTTTCATTTAAACTGAAGTACAATATACGTGTGATCCAGAGCGTAAGGCAAAGTGGATTTTATAACTTTTATACAGGAATTAATTTTTTTCTTTGTTCTAGGGACCCATGAGCCGACTGGAAGGGGAGGAGTATCAGGCTCCGCCCATGCTCGACTGCAACGTGTCTTCAACAGGATGTATTAAGCAGAAAAAAATCATTAAAACATGTTTGCTCTCTAACCGGCTTTGTTCAGACTCATTACCAGTTCTCATTCTTTATTAAAACAAGAAAATCACGAGGAAAAAAAGCTAAAATCTCAAGCAATTTATTAAGTTTGAACAGTATCTTGCTTATAAAGGCATTATATAATTATATATAATTTGATCATATATAATTATATATACATATATTCAAATGTTGAATAACAAAACACTAGAAATAAAATTAGACCAAATAAAAAAGGGGACTTTTTTTTAAAGACAATTGTACCAAATTGGAAAATGGCCTAAAGAAAACATCATGGTCCTAATACAGTTCAATATACGTCTTATAAAACGGGCAGAAGAAATAAGAGCAAGGCAGCAGACGACAATGACATATAAATAACCTTACATTATGTACAAAAGGTGAGTGAGTGTTGACTGCTTAATAAAAATGGTCCAAGGACAGCGAGAGGAAGGAATGAATGGTGGACACCAGTGAATAAAATGACACAAGAAGGTGGGAGTTTTCCTGCAGTCTGATTTTTTGAGGGGGCATTCAGAATGCAAATGTAGGTCACATCTCAGGGAATAAAGAAGATAAATGAATACAGTTTTTACATATTTACCCACAGAAACCCACAACTGATTACTTGTCATGGACCCGTGTTCAGTTGATATGGAACAGTTCTAATTACAATAAATTAATTAAAAAAGAGCCTAAATGTTACATTTTATTTGCACATTCTACACAAATGCAAATAAAGGGAATGTGAAGGAAAAGATGGCCACCCTGATTTTGGCCCCTTTGATTGGCCGAAACCCAAAAGGATGCGTCATTAGTTTCTAGGTCTAAGCTGTGGAAAAGCATGCAGGTTTGGACAAGTCATTTGTTTTGAACACCTACCAGTGAGGCACTTTTTTTCCCCAGTTTGGATAACATCTGGTGGGATGGCACAGTGTCCACTGCAGAGACATCGTGATCAAAAGAAAAAGAAGAAAAAAAAAGCACAACTCCTCTGTCAAACGAAGGCCCACGAAATGCAAATGAATGAAGAGCAGGATGGCACTTGATGAGATGAGTACGGGCACTTGTGATGCTTCAGGTGGAGAGAAAAACCCAACATCAGACATCGTAGCTTCAGTCGACACTCCTTTGATCCCATTGGTTAAAGAGCTTTACTTTATGTGCAGAAACTGCACGAGTGCTCGTAAATTCAACAGACACGTTCACCCATTCAAGCATGCACTTTTCACTTAAAAATCATTCTGATTGTGCTCATTCCTTTTATAAAGGGTATTAAAGATAGGAGTGTTGGTTTAATAGAGATTGTGCAGGAGAATGGCGGTGTTAAGTGAGTAATCCACGTTAAAAACAGCCTGGAAACACATAAGATACATCATTTGGTATTAAAATCAAAATGAGAAAAAGTATTTGTGAAATAGGAGACAAACCCGCTTGTTCAGTGAAACTTAAAATTTCTTCTTCTTCTTCTTTTTTTTTTTTACAATCAATAAGTTTAAATTTAAACCCTAACCTGCGTTTCATTAGTCACAACGAGCATGACCTTCATATTGACCTCAGCTGGAGTAAAACCACTACAGATAAGAATAGAAAAGGTTAAAAATGCACACAAACATGGGAGAAAAGAGCAGGTGTTCTAGAGTTGGGAAATTAAAGGATTCTCTGAAGAGGAGGGATGAGACGCTGAAGTAAAAACGAAAAATCCTCCAAGTCATCTAACAAAATAAAACACTGATGTTTGCTTGTAAACAAGCAAAGAAATACCAGGTATTGACTCGTTTCTATACCCACTAAGCCGGCTGCAGACACTGTAACAGACTCTAAATCAGTTTAGAGAGGCTTCACGTTTCAGAAAAATCAACCTGCAAAGATTTTTTACTTCCCTAAATTCCTGTTGTAGTCCAGAAATGTGTTCCCTACGAATCCCTGGACAGGTTTGTTGCTCAGGACTCTTAAGACAAGAATCAAAAGCAAGATGAGTAACTTTGGCACAAAGCAGACTTCAGGAAATAAAAGTGAATCTGTTCTGCCAGCACACACCCATTCTCCAAAATAATTAATGGCTCTTGATAATTTAGCGTGTGCATGTGTGTGTGTAAACCTGAGACTATGAGCTACTTAGCGGAGATCCAGAAATTTAGTCTTGATGAATCTTTGAATCTCCAAATGAAGAGGAAATCATGAATGTCTTGCTGACGGGTGCAGAAAAAATGGCTTTCATTGTGTGTGTGTGTGTGTGTGTGTGTGTGTGTGTGTGTGTGTGTGTGTGTGTGTGTGTGTGTGTGTGTGTGTGTGTGTGTGTGTGTGTGTGTGTGTGTGTGTGTGTGTGTGTGTGTGTGTCAGGACTGCCTGGTTGATGGAAACACTCTGGGGTGCATGAGTGAATGTGGAATCTTGCTACAGCACACTTCTCTACAACGTGGCTCAGGAAAAGTAAAAATATTTTAAGTCTCTGGAGAAAGAAAACCCTTGATGTGTGTGTGTGTGCACGTTAGCCACCAAAACATTTGGTTTTATATTCATATATATTTATATTTTTTATATATCTATGTATACCAATAAAATACATTACAGGTGCCACTTGAAAATGCAGCCACACTCAAAACTGTGTCTAAGACCAAAAGAATAAAATGCATCACAGTAAGTATATTTACATGGTGGGGGTGATGGTGTAAAGCAAATGAAAGTGATGGCTAGTTATTAACATCGTTACAAAATAGTCAAGAAGGCATCTCCGTTGTTTTTTCGTGTCCAACTGCACCGCCCTGTCCTGTGGGCGTTTACCTCTGTCCCCTTTTCCTGCAGGTAGTTCATCTGATCCCGATGACGAGTCCGACAGACGGGCAACTTTCTGCTTGAGAATGTATGAGTGTGTTCTGGTACGAGCATTTGCTTGTAATAAGTGTAGGTGGATGTCCAAACATCCAACCATCCGTCCGTTGGTCCAAGGCAGATCCCTACTTGAAGTTGGCGTAGTCAGAAAAAGCATCGATGTATTCCTGGACCACTTTGTAGCAGAACTCGTACTGCTCCTGTTCAGAGGATGGAAGAAGGCCACATCAGCTGGAACCACGACTCACTCGTGTGTCTAAACTCACTGTCGGTTCATACAGAAGAGGACAAAACCAGCAGCAACCTAACAACAAATAACAATAGAGGACTGGGCCAACTTCAGCGCCCCCTGGTGGAAAATAAAACAACTGCAGTTGTAACAGCAACAAAAACGAAGCAAACAGACAAATTCACACACTTGTGTAAAACGTGTTAGACTCCTGATAAATCTGGACATGCAGTCTGTACATAAACAAAAAATGACCTAGTTATTTATTAAACCACTCGGGATGAATCAAATGTTTTCAGGTATCTGTTAAACTCTGATGAAAAAAAGGGCAAAACTGAGTGAAGTGGATGATTAATGAATATCAAAACTGGACATTTTCCTTTAAGTGGCTTTGATCTAAATCAAATAGGGCTTCGGTTAGTTAAACCCCCTTTATTATAACAAAATAACACAGGGTATCTGCAGGTTTAAGGGAGCCAAATTTAAGACTTTTTAAGATCTTTTTTAAGGCCACTTTGACCAAATTTAAGCTATTTTAAAAATTAAATTTAAACTATAATTTCCAGGTATTGCCAGGAACCGGTGCTAACCACGTCGCGAATGTGGGATTAGCCATCCAGTTACCATTAAACTTGCACTTCCCCATGGTGCAAGCTCCCACTAGCTTAACCAGCTAAAACAGCCCCCTTTCACAACCAACTGAACGTGTACGGTTCCGCTTACGGCAGCATCATACACACAAAAAATGCTGAACACCAACTAGAAATTCACGAAAATTTGACAAAAATAAAAGAATCTTGTTTATTGGGTCTTTGGTAATTTAAGACCTTTGGAAACTGTATTTAAGGATTATTTGTCATTTTTAAGGATTTTTAAGGTCTTAAATTTGGAAAAGCAAATTTAAGACTTCATAAGACTTTTTAAGGACCCGCAGATACCCTGATAACAACTTAGACAAGCTTGATGTAACATCAGGATCCCAATTATCCCCGCCAAAGAAATCCACCAAAAACAGGAAATAGTGTGCAGCATGTACATTAAACTTGTAGGATAGGTCAAAGGTGACAAAAGGCTCCTGAAACACCATTTCCTTCATAATGCAACATTTAAAATGATAAAAGACACTGTTGTGTCTTCGCAAAACACAGCTCCCATTAGATCAGTACTTAATTTTGTTACCTTATTTTTATCAAAACTGGTGATTTTATTAAAAACAAATAGTCCAAACCTTAATTTCCAAATAAATCTTTGTCGTGAGTTCACACTGAAGGTTAGCACTGATCAGATTAACACAACGTGAAAGTAAAAACTTGTTAATAATAATAATAAAATTGAGATTTGACAGATCTTACCAGTGTCTGCACCATGTGGGGTCTCTGCAGTCTGAGGCTCTTCACCGTCTGGAAGACATCCAGGATGCCTTCTGCCTTCACCCTCTCCAGAACCGTACTCAGAGCACAGAAGGTCCCCGTTCGGCCAGCACCAGCACTGCACACACACACACACACCGATGTCATCTCTAATAATCACATGGTCTGATTCTTGATTTAATGCCAAATTACAACAGAAGGAGCATCAATGAGCAACTAAAACACAAAAATCAGCAGAATAATCTAGAGGCTCTCTAAAGTTCTCAACAAGTAGTGGGAAACCGACAAGAGCTGTTTATTATTTCTACCTGCAGTGCACAATGATGGGGTGGTTGCCGGACTGCTGCTGTTGTTTCTGCACAGCGGCGATGATGTTGATCATGCCTTTCCCATCCATAGGGATCCCCACCTCTGGCCAGCCATGGAAGTGAAACTGACGCACCGCTCGAGCCTTGTTTTCCTGCACAGCCCACATGGAAATCAGTGAGTTAAACAAAGTAGATAAATAACAAGTGTAACACTTAGGATGCTTTAGTGTGTAGAATCCCTTTAGTCCCATTTGTTTAACAAGCACAAGAGAAGGCTTTTTATCGCTTTTTCCCCACCAAGAGGCACAGAGAGAAACACAAAGAAACGGTTCCAAGTTAACACCCTCGCCAGATCAGCATTGAAACCTGTTAGGTGGAAACGCCTCATTTGAAACGTATGAAGCAACAAAAGCTAATAGTGGATCCAGATGTTACTCACCCTGCTGTTGGTGACTAGAAAGTCGCGCACCGTGTAACTCTCATTCTCCTCCTCCCTTTTAATCTCAATGGAAATGTCCCCATGGCATACCGTTCCGTCACTGGGCCAATACTGAGCACACTTCTCCTAGAAGGAGAACACGCAGATGATCAACTTCACCTTAATAACACAAGTGGATAAAGACCGTGCACACACCCCTACCTGCCCCCTCTCCTCTAGCTCAGTCAGCATGACTATGGAGCAGGTCTTCCACTCCCAGATCATCCTCCAGAAGTCCTCTATGGTGTACAGCAGGGGCCCCTGACTCGCTATGTATGCATCTTTCTGACGGTAGCCCTGTGACGGACAGGAAACGGCGGGAGTGGAAAGAGTGAGTGACAAACAAACACAACACGCCGATTCTTGCATAATTTAAACATGATGATTTCCTCTAAAACAAGCTTTTCCTCAACGCTCACGTCTATAAAGGAGGCGTTGACGTAGTCCGTGTTTTCCTCTCCTCGTTTGACTGGAATGATCACTCTGTTGAACTCGTCTGTTGGAAGAAGAGAGGGGCGATCACCGTGGCTGAAAACAGCTTTAAAGGGGAACTAGGCAGTTTTGGCTTGGTTTTAGCACCCCCTAGTGTCCGTTTAGTAGAACCAAAACGTATCTCCTCACTGTAAGTTTTTCTTTTTAACACCTTAATCTAACAGCCGAAACGTCTCCCTACAGGAGTGATTCCTCACTAAATTAAACCAATCAACAGTGTTCATGATCTAAAACATGCAGGAAAAGTGGCGGAAGCAGACTGCAGCACCAGGTATGTCAGCTCAATTTACCAAGTTGGCAGTGGAATATTCTAGCCACACAGGGGCGATAGGGGCGGGGCCGCCTTTCATTAACCCTGCTAAGGGTCAATTTAGCACATACTGAATCAAGAAAATTATGAAAAAAAAATATGAAAACGTTGCAAAGTGTCCCTTTAATGTAAGATTATATCACTGCTTTTAGGCACGAAACACGCCCAAATCACTCACATGGAATGATCTGTGTCACCCTGTTCTTCTTCATGTTGGCATGCAGGTTGCCCGTTCTCATCTTGTCGTTCTGAATCTTGACAGATGTTAGTTTCTAGAGATGATGAGATCACAGTTCAGTTTCCTCCACGTTAAAATCTGCTGCATGGAGAAATCAGGTGTGGGATTATAGCAGACGTGCAGACCTTGAATTCAGCCTCCAGGCCGTTGCAGCCGGCTCCGGGCGCGGGAGCGCCGAGCTTTGTTAAATGGTTTTCTAACGACGTCACCTCTAACTCTGTGTCTCCATACAAGTAGTGTTCTAACAAGGCCTGGAAGATAAAGACGTACTGCATCTGTGGGAGAAAAGACACGACTCAGTCTGATAGTGCAGCATTAGGGTGGATTTCTGTACTTTCACTCTTCACGTGTGAACACGGGACTCACATCTGTCTGGACCATCTGACAGCGCTGGGCTCTTATTCTGGTGACAAAGCCAAACACATCCACCTTCGACTCCACAGCCATCATGTCTAACATGGCGTCGATCACTATGAAGGTACCTGTCCTCCCCACACCCGCACTAACACACACACACAAGAGCTCGTGAGTAGCAGAAAACTTAGCACAACTCAAACCGGAGGCAAAGGGCAACAACGCGTACCTGCAGTGGACGACAATAGGGCCTGCATACTGGGGGTTGCAGTTCTTGACTTTCTTCAGGAACTTGAGCATGCCGATCGGAGTGAAGGGCACCCCGAAGTCCGGCCAGCTGGTGAAGTGGAACTGCGTGATGAGCCTTTGAGGCTTCTTCCCAGAAACGTCTCCCACCTGGAACACAGACGATCCCGATCACACAAGGAGCCGCAGAGATCTTTGGTGGACGTGATTCACAAACGGCTACAGAACATTTACGATACCTGTTGGATGCAGAACTTGCGGATGGTGTAGTCCACCAGAACCACCACGTCCTCCACAGAGACTCGGATGTTCCCGTATGTCCAACAGCCCTGGTCCGGCCAGTACTGTGCACACTTACACTGCAAAATAGTAATTTGAGACCGACTGAGAATGCAAAACTCAGGAGTACATTTTTGATCTTATTTTGTCATCTATTGTTTTTTTTTTGTCTGAACGGTGTAAATTGTAGTTTTATGTGATGCTGCCTATCTTGGTCGAGTGTCCCTAGGAAAGTAATATTTTTTTAATCTCAGCGGCTTTTTTCTCGGTACTATGCTCTACTCCAGTCTTGATTTTTTCACACAGAAGGCCCCGCCGGATCCCAGACCCAAAGCAGGGCTTTCACACAGGCAACAGCACAAAATAGTGAAAGTAGGTCTGCTCCATAGAGAAGCCAGAGGACACCGCTGGTCCAGCGGCTGGTCTCTATATTATGAAGAGTCTGCTGCTCACACACTGGTGCCACAGAAAGGAGCTGACCCTCTCCAGGCAGCTGCAGCCTGGGTGGGTTGCTGACCACATCACCCAAAACACAAATGGCACAAGATCCATCCTTCTGTTATGCCAAACAAAAATCATTTTTACTTTCGAAATTTACAGTTTTAGATTTTTTACTGGCATCTCAGCCGTGTTTCTGCGTCTCCTACCTCCTTTCTCTCCTTCAGATTCGTCACCATGACGATAGTGATTGTATTCTGCTCCCAAATCATCCGCCAAAAGTCATTTACAGTCTCCTCCTTTGGCCCTGGGATCAAGACACAAAAGGATGAAACTTTTAATAAAACTACAATTAAAAATAATAAATCCAACACTGGTGCCAACCTTACCTTGTGCTGCAATAAATTTATTCTTCTCTTGGTACCCCTGTGATAGAGATAAACCAAAAGCAGACATTAGGATGACATCAGTTTAGCACAGGGTAGGGTACGAGGAAGAAGAGGTACAGATACAAACATTTATAAAAGAAGCGTTGATAAAGTCAGAGTCAGGGACTCCCTCCAAAGACAACAGATGCACCCTGGAGTGGTCATCTGAAAGACAAAGAGCAGAGCACTTAAATGAATGGGAAAGGCACAGCAAGAAAGTGAAGCCAGGATAATCCTTAAATCTTTGTTTAAATAAATCAGACTTGTTCTGTTACAATAAGACCTTCAGTGATCACTTACAGGGCAGAATGTTGACATATCTGTTTTTTTCTTTGTTCTCTTCCTTGGAAGCAGCGTCACACGAAGCCTGGATGGGGCAGACTGGCAGGGCCTAAAGAATAACAGAACCAGATCTAAACAGTAGCAAACAGATGAAGTCCTCGGCCTCCTGTGTGTTTGTGATCGCTGACTTTAACTTCCTGTTAGCTTCATCTCTTTCCCAGCTGTGTCAACACAAACTACAGCATGTGTATTTCATTATGAGGGCGTGGCAGCAATGACATGAATGCTACATGGAGACCTCAGGCCCGTCTGACAGCGTCCACGGCTTTACGGCAGTTTTATTCAACAAAAACAAGTCAAAATGCAGAAAATAGGATGTAAAAATCAGGGACATAGACTCAGTGACTGAGGTGAATCTGCAGACCTAAACTTTGTGGCTTTTTAGAAAGATCAAGCTGTACTGGTCCCATAGCAACCAGTAGAGAATATGACACCTGCACATTCTACTGCCTAACCAAATCTGGGACCTCAGTCCGTGACAAATGCTGCCTTGATTTAACACATAATCACATCTTGTATCAACATATTTTATTTCTTTGAAATGTTTTAGAATTTATAAGCATTTTCTTTTCAGTCGCTGCTGCAAATAAACAACCTAGGCTTGAAACCTTCACCATTCTTGTTCTGTAAACCTTTTAGAATAAGCCACATCCTTTATATCTCGTAGTCATCGTGTTGCTACAAACTTTAACAAACTCTAAGGTTTAATTTTAACAAACTGCTTCTGCATTTTCATTTTTTACTGAATCAAAATTAAGATGGTTATTTGTTTGTTTGTAGCTATTTTTAAACCTGGTATGGGCCAGAAGTTCTTATTCCTCATAGAAATACGATCCTCTGATGGGTAAACGCTGACGACGGACATCAGTGTTTAAAACCTCGTGTGTAATTAGTGGGCATCAACTTGAGTGTGTCATACATTAAACTCCTCCCTGAAGAGCTTGTTGTCATCGGCCATGCGACGGTTCATTTCTTCCTCCAGCTTGTCGATGAGAATGGGTGGGTACTTCCTGTTTGTGCTGGGTGAGCGAGCCAATAGCGGCACACTTTGGCTCTCTGAGAACCAGACAGGAGGGAGGGGGCATAAGTGGGGAGAAGGTGGGAAGAGATAAAAAAAAAGTTGGATACGGGGTAAGAACATGATAACAAAACAATCTCACATGTAAAACTCTTCTGTTCGTGTCAGTTCTTAAAACACCCAGTAGAGGGCATTGTGAGTCAACAGAAGGGAGCCAGTTGAAGCTCTGCTGTTAGGTTATCCCAGTAAACTAACGTCTCTGGTACACATTCACACACTGGGAAGCTTTATCAGCTGGAACACAGCTTATCAGGGAAGAATACTGGCAACTAGTAAATTAGATCCTATTCACACACGCGCGCGCGCCCACACACACACACACACACACACACACACACACACACACACACACACACACACACACACACACACACACACACACACACACACACACACATCTTATTTGTGTTTTACCTGTCTCATCTGATCTGCCATTGGTCAACCTGAAGGAGTTTGAATGGCTTCCTGCCTGCTTGTACTTCTTAAATCTGCAAAAGACCAGAGCGCATGTTGATAAAAAGGAAACTGTTGCACTCTCTCTCTCTCTCTCACACACACACACACACACACACACACACACACACACACACACACTGTGCTCACAGCAGCGTGGCAATCAGTTGTCACCATGGAAACAGCAGCACCTATAGCCCTAAACACAGGTCTCTGCTGTCTACCAACCTGAGCATGTACAGGATGATGACGATGAAGATGATGACCAGCAGGGAGGACAGGGCCACCATGACAGCTATGATGGGCATGTCACCATCATCATCAGAATCATCTGTGTCATCAGAGAGGGAGAAACTCCTTTAATAAGTTCCCAGAGATCAACTCCACTCAGAGAAATGCTAAACAAACATTTTAATAAACATCATCTTTAAAACTTTTGACTGACTCAGCTATAGGGAGATGTGAGCAGTAGTTTGATTTTTTGCTAAATAATTTAATCCACTTGTAGAAGTTGGTTAGCTTACTACTCTAAAACTACACCCTCTCATGTCATGTCATAGGAAAGTGTCCACTGCCCAATTTAATCTGTCAAGTGTTAGTTTCTCTCAATTAGATGGCCTAAGACTTGATGTCCTCAGGACTCATCATGTTGGAGAGTGAACTTTTCCTTTTCAGATGAAACTAAACTATTTGTGTCCAACGTCAAATACCTTCTGTAGGGAGCGCACGGCCTTCTATTTCATCACTGATTTTGACTCCAAACAATGACAAAACAAAGCAGCCAATGAAAAACAATTATTTTAAAATGTTGTCACCTTCTAGTTTGAAATAAAAGTTCTTATTTTGTCTTTCTTGTGCATTTTGTGGTGGCGTGTTCAGGGGCGGATTTAGGACTGAAGAAGATCCGGGGCTTAACACACACACGCACGCACGCACGCACGCACGCACACACACACGCACACACACACGCAAGCGCACACACACACGCAAGCGCACACACACACACGCAAGCGCACACACACGTGACACGCACTAGTCAACATCATATATATTTGTCTTGTTCCACATAAATTTTAATCTGAAGCTACATATTCAGCATTTTCAGGGCAGAGTATTGTTCCTGTTAGTGTTTAGTGTGAGATGATAGTAAATATTCCCTTTCTTTCTCCATCAACTTTACCTGATAAGCTAACTTTAGGCAAACCAGCAGCACAACAAATATTTTCAAATAAGACTCACAAACCTGAGTCAGCACCTGTCTCATCAAAGCTGGGGTTCTGTCGTTGTACTTTTTGTCTAAAAAACGTCCTTATGTCCATCTTCACTCATGCGTTTCAGGCAGAGAGTGCAGAAGAAGCCGGCTGCTGAAGGGCTTCTTCTTCAGTGGTGGAGGCTCAGGCAGGCTGTATACAAACTACTGCCAGCTGCTCCCTCCCTGTTGGACTTTGGTACTGCATGTTACTTCTACGATTTAGATCCGGGGCTTTTCATAAAACATCCGGGGCTTCAGCCCAAGTAGCCAGGCCTAACGCCGCCCCTGGGAGTGTTACAAACATCAACACAAGCTAGACACGATGGCACCATACGGCACTGTCAAAACCATCCATCCATATCTGAACTGCTTGTTCTTCAATAGGGCCACAGGGAGTTGGTGCCCAACTCCATTAGCCATCAGGTGAGAGGCGGGGGACACCCTGGAAAAGGGCAGCACCAGTCCATCACAGGGACACAAACAACCAGTCTCACACTCACACACCTAAGGGACAATTTAGAATCTCTAATCAACTCAACATGCATGCTTTTGTTCTGTGGGAAGGCACCTGGAGAAAACCGAGGCATTCATGAAGAGAGCATGCCAACTCCACGTAGAAGGGCAGCAGCTGAGATTTGAACCTGCAACCCTCATGCAACTACCAACTGTACCAACATGCAGCTCCGTGTCCAAAAGTGTCTCTACTATTTTCTGATTATGACCCCCCTTAAATTCCTTGGTGCGGCCTCCAGAAAATGTATTCAGAGGCATGAAAAATCACACTCCGTTCTTAGATATCTGGGCCTCCGTAGCAGCTTTTCTCTGCTTTCCTAGCAGCACTGCTCCTTGTTCCAGGTATTTTTATGGTGCTCTATAATGATTTTTCTACAATAAACAGTAATTTATGTCTCAAACATTTTCATAACCTTCAAAAAGCTTAACTGCACCACCTGCTGAGGAACTCTGGACAGCGTCTCAGAATTCAAGGAATAACGGTCCATTTTTTATATCATCTCTCTGGTCTATAACTTGCATCTATGCTAATATTTGATTTGTTTTAAGGGAAAATAACAAACAAAAACATGCACACAGTAAACCGGTCAACACGTTTTCTCTCTGTGGGAGCAGATAAATCACATTTTTACTGAGAAGGTCAACCCCTCACCTCGGTGACCAGTTTAATCCAAGATGACAGCAGACACAAGCAGATGCTATAAACCCTTCAGAATGTTTGCTGCAGTTTTTATTTAAATTATTAAATGTTTAGAAGAAAAAAGGCTTTCTAAAGGTCAGAAGCATGCCCCTCCTGTTCTGTTTGAGACTGTGGTGACAAACGTGTCCCATCAAACATTAGATGTGAGACGGGTTATCTATTCTTCAATTGGTCCCACAGCAGATTAGAATGGCTGACCAATCTGTATACATGCACATGATTTAAAGACAACCCTACGGTCTTCCTGGTGAACTCTGACCTCCCCACGGCTAGAACAAAAGACACAATTTGCCTGAACAACATTGTGTTGCCCTTTGGGTCCAACAAAAGGACAGCGTTTTCCAGCAAACTTCACATGACCGTTGACAACAGGAGGGCAAGAATCAGCTGTTCCATTAACCCATTTCAAGAAATTTCCTCACATTACACACGTATGCGGCAAAGAATGCGTCGTCTAACTTTATGCTCTCAAAACACATTCTGGGAGCAGCGTGCCCAGTTATGTTGCATTGCCATGCACTTTCCCAGGACTTTTCAGTGTTCTCCTCGAGACAATGTGTACATTGAAGACAACACGAGCACAAAAGGCTGTGAGTTTCATGTGGAACTGACACAGCCATGACAGATCTAATTCCATTTAGAGCAGCTCGCAGCTCTCCACTCCAGCCTGAAGGATGTCCACAGGGAGACAATGGAAGCGATTACGTAACAACAAGGAACCAAAAGTGGTCCCGTTATATAAGAGGAACACTATATAGTGGTGCCCCATATGTTTTAATTAGAGTTAATTAATTTCTGTTTATCCTCATACTTATTTGCTGGAGATGCAGCTCCTACCTGCTGCTATTACGCTCCATAATAAAACTACTTGGCTAAATCAATCAGGGATGTATGCTGAGGATTTGTGCATTTCTCCAGAATCCTGCATTATGAATAATTGATGTAGAAACAAAAGGTGGGGGAGTCGTGTTTCATGAGCAGGGATTTTACAAGCGGATGAAGAATAAAGCTGAATACTAAAAATGTAACGTTTTTCCCTCAGAGTTTCATGATGCTAAATAATCTGCAAAACAAGCTAGCCTAAAACATTTTTTCATGCCTCTAAACAACTTTCTAACATAGTATAGCGGTAAATATTTTGTTGGGATAAAAAGAAAATGGAAAAAAGAAAAAAAATCTGAAGTGGTTCTCTCACATTTGTCTAAAAACCTCAGCCAATAACACAACTCGGTCCAAAATTAACAATGGTACCACCTGGTTGTCTGTCTCACCGAACCCCTACACACGCTCACATTTAGCAGCAGAACACCACTGGTGTGAGAGGTTCTCCGCTCAATAATATCAGAGGAGGAGAAACAGCTGGCTGCTACCACTTCAACTTTAGAACAAACTATCAGAGTCCCAAAAAGAAAAACTACATTAGAAGTTGCAAAAAACAAAAGAAGTTTTGACCAAATAAACGGCGACTGGTGTTTAGCACTATCTTGTTCAATAGCTGGTAATGCGGGTTCCGGTGTAATGTGGATGTGGGCCAGCGATGCTAGCCGACGGGAGGGGTGAAAGTTCCTTGGCCATGTTTGTGTTTAAATCTTAGCTTGTTTAGTAGATTTTTCTATTGCAGCTTTACTTTAAGCATGTATGTGTGCAGTGTTAAAGAGATACAATGCAACTTTTTCATATTTTTAAATAATTTTCTTGAGCTAATATGTACTAAAATAAAATAAAGTTATTGAAATGTTACTCAGATCCCATCTATCTCTCCCTGCGGTGAGAACACCAACGTCAGAGTTGGCGGGAGTCTCCTTCCAGCACATTTCCTGCATGTTTTAGATCATGAGCACAGCTGATTTACTTGATTTAGTGATTAATTGCTCCTGTACAAAATAATGGAGCTGTTAGATTAAGGTGTTAAAAAGACAAACAAAGACAAGCAAGAAAATAAGTTTCATTTTTGGTTTTACCACAAAGAATAAATAACGGACACTAGGGGGTGCTATAAGCAAGCTAAACCGCCTAGTATCCCATCAATGTCAATTATAAGTCTGACCTTCTCACATATAATAACTGCAATCATATTCCTGCTTGTCAATGCCCAACATTAGCACAAATCCACTCCTTTGGAAAGAAAAAAAAGACGGTTTTCATGTGAAAATAAAACTCCTAACAGTGTGGGGGAGTCTACATTAAGGTGGCATCCTGATTCTTCTGGATGATGGGTCAAATGCAGGTATGACACGTACGGATATTTCCAGAACTCCTACAATGGACTCTAAAAGCAGAAAGTGTTCAACAAACTAAAATATTAAAGACGGACTTTTGACCAGAGAGCTCTCTTGCCTCACAGTCTCCTTGAAGCTGCTGCTGGAGCCTCGCCACACCAACAACACACAACCCACTTTGGCAGTGAGTACTTGGGAGAGCCAGATGCTCACATCATAAATTTATATTTTGACAGCCAGAAGAGTTTAATTGAAGGTGTGGAGGACCAAGAGATTTATTTATTAGACTCTCTAAACATTTAAACTCATAAGTGTACTATATAAGGGAAGGACCAATATATGAATAAATATCGATATATTAACCATTTTTTTCTACTATAAGCCTGCATCAATCGATAAACCTCTGATATAGCTGCTTTAAGGCCAGACATTACTATGTAAAAGTTTTGTTATAATTCTACGTATTTGCACATTTCTCCATCACTCTATATAATAATTCGCTAGTCTTTTGACACTATATTTAAGTCTTTTTTAATGTTGAAAACTCAATTGAATCTTTAGGATTTCTTGCATAAATGTTTTTTATATAAGATTTTCTGCTGTAGCACCATAATATCCCCTCTGCGGGACAATAAAGACATTTTCTCTTCTACTTCTATTCTACACCCAGTCTCAGAAACGGGGGGATGGTTGCTACGATGCACTAAAAGGCTCCATCTGTAGCTTACATGAATATGTTAAGAACTATTAGTAAAAATAATATAGACATAATAATAATAATAATAATATAATATATAATATAGACAATTTTATTTTCTTCTTATATATTTTATCATTGATATTTCTCTGTTGTATTTATTCTATTTAAATGTGTATTCACATTTATGAAAAACATCTGCTTAATAAATGCTCTAAAACTTTATTGTCAACTTACATTTCTTCATATTTACCAGTTTAGTGTTTTAATACTTGATCAGTTAATAGATATTTTGAATAAAATTAGGTAAATTCAGCCTTAGACAAACCCAGACAAACATCTAATTAATTATTATATGTATGTGGTTTTCATTGCTGTAGAGAAGCTGGTCATGTTTTTAATTAAAAAATTTAAATATTCAAACAAAATTGAAAAGTTTCATTAATTAATGGTACAAAATAATCTGCTAAGCTAAAGAACGTTTTCCAAACCAGAGACAGCCTTTCTCCTGAAGGGTTTTCAGATATTTTTCCAAACAGGTAAATTAATTTCCCAATCAGATGCAGGGTAGTGGTGCCACAGGGACATGTGATTTGTTTACACATCTTATTTTAGTGAACTCTAGTAACCAAACTACATAGAAACTCGAGAAGTCAACAGTAAAGCAGGTCGTGTGTGGTCATCTTTTAAATACAACATTAAACAAATCCTTGAAAAAGAGTCTTAAAGACACAATGTGTAGTTTTTACTGTTAATCTCAGGAAATATCCATCAAAATGTGGTTGAAAAAGAATAAAATGATGTCCAGTTGTTGAAAAATATTGGCAACTTCATAACATATAACCATAAAAATGGAGTCTAAAGTAGAGCACAGGTCTAGCGCCTTTGGGGGGATGTCATGTTTCCTTCTGGCCAGCTCATGGCGCTGCATCTGTTAATGTCACACTAGATGATTGGCTGGATGTACGACTTATGGAAGTGCCGTTACCACGTTCAGAAACATTTAGGTGGTATGGAACATGCATTTAATAACTGCTAAACTCTTTCCAAAACATGTGAAAGAACATATTTGACAAATGAATGCAATACATTTTGGCTGATTGGTATTGTCGTTGTATGATGACATCATCAACAGGCGCAGGACCGTGAGCAGATTAAAAACTACAGCGCCCGAAAACTACAATCAGCTTTGGATTATCTTAATGGAATTAACTGAAAGACCATGAAAGTCCGAGGAGTCACGCTGAGGTTGCATGCTTTCTGCTCCACAGGGAACATTTACCGTAATGTTTTTAAACTAGGGACAGTGTAAAACTACCCTTAATTGTATGTATGTAGTGCCCCCTAGCACCAGGAAACTACACACTACCACTATAAGTATGAAAGAATCCAAACACTCACCGGGTGGGGTGTCTGACGTTCTCATCTTGGTTGGTTTTGTGGTCTCTTTATTTGTGTTGGAGTCAGACTGTGGAGATGTGATGTCTGGAGCTACAGTGGTGGTCACCTGGGTGAGGGTAGGGGGAGCCTCAGGGCTTGTCGGTGCTTCAGGAGCATCAGTAGGAGGAGGTGGTGGAGGAATTGGTGACGGTCCCACCGTGGAATTGAGTTCAGATGATTGTGCGGCCTCATTATAACTTTGACTTGTGGTGGTTTTTGTTGTTATGGTTGCTGGCACGATAACTGTGGGGGCAGATGTTGTGGGTGAGTCTGTAGAGGGTGGAGCTTTTGTAGATGTGAAGTTTTGAGGTGTAACAGGCAGGTCTGTTGGTTTGGCAGCAACATTTGGAGGACCTTGAAAAAGAGACGACAGGATTCAGTGAGAGGCTGGTGTGGAACATTGGTTAATAAAAGTGCTTTAGTGGTTCTAGTTCATACTTGTGACGGGTACTTGATCCTGGGCCGAGGCCCTCAGGGCTACACCAAGCAGCAGGAGCAGGGGACACACACCCATTCTGCCCTGCACAACGGAGGAAACGTCAGAACCTTAAATTTCAGTTAAATCAACAAAAATATGTTTAATGTATCAAAATGACAACAGCCATTTGATTATTTAAGCAACTGTCAAATAAATAGTCTACCTGAAGGAGCGAAGGTGGCATCAATCACTCATTCGAACAGAGTGTTCCTAGAAACCAAAGGAAACAACGTTTAGTGAAATTGTGAGTCCTAAAGTTATTATAAAAACTTCAAATCACAATCCTTTTACTGTCATGAGTTCCCACAAAACAACACTTTTTTGGGTGAATCTGGTTCCACATCACAAGAGGATATTTGTACATACAGTGAAGAAAGATAAAATAACCCACGCCTTTAAACCAATACTAAAAAATAACTGGATGGATTACACACTATTAAAGGTGCAGGTGTGCAGAAAATAATCTGTATAACACCAGGTAGGTCATGCATGAGTAGAATGGTGAAACAATGTTGGTTTAACTTTACGTTTACAGCAGCTGATCGCAAATAACGACAAAAAGAAAATTCTGCACCCAAGACAATACCAGATCATTATTTTAATACATAAAGAAGAATGTTACGGTGTTAATTTAAAATCTCGTCCAGATTAGTGTTTCTGTGATTATTTAATCATTATTTTTCTGAATCGCAGTCACACCTAAATTCCTGCCAACATTGAAAATCTATTCTCACACCTAACACAGGCATGAGGACCAGAGGATAGACGACTCCAGCAGATCTCGATAAAAGTCGAGCTGTCAATCTGTTGTATTTTTTTCTGTTAATCCCAGAGGCTAACTGCACTGTGATAATCCCTCAACCTAATCCCATGGTCTTGACCCTGGAATAATTCTGCCTGTCCGTCTTTGCTTACAGTGATACTTCAACACTGAACTGAGCCAAAAGCTGCAGAGTTGCCACACACACACACACACACACACACACACACACACACACACACACACACACACACACACACACACACACACACACACACACACACACACACAGACTGTTGCTTTACATCACAGATTACTGCATCAGCAGACAAAGGATAAACTGGGTGCTAAAAACTCTAATCTCGCCAGTTGCCAATCCGCTGCTGTTTCTGAACCGGGAACATTCAGGGTGCTTTGGTTCTAGCAGAGGACAGTCTGACTTTCACTGCAGGCAGCAACTGGACATGATGAGCAAGTGTTGTCGTCAATGAGGATGCTATTAACCTACAAATCCAATTATTGCTCTCACTTTCTCCAACTCATCCACTTAGCCAACAACGACCAGAATAAAATCCGAAAAGTGTTCCATTATAGATCAGTTTTAATTAATTAACTATTGGATGACAATGTAAGTTTCATTTTTTGTCACTCTTCCGGTTTCCTAACCAAGTAGCCGGAAACATGTGGCATTCCTGTTCCAACATGAAGCACAACTGGTTTGATCACAATCTTTACAATTATCACAGTATCACTGTCACTAACCAACAGTCCTTCAATGTATGACAACAATTCTACTTTACGTTTTTCTGGCACGTAAATTCTTCTACAGGAACTTCCAAATTGGTGAACTTCCTCCTCTCCCTTGGAAAAAAAATATATGTGTGTGTGTGTGTTAGGATTTGTCTGTAGAGCTTGTTTCACACTGAATGCGATACGGAGGCGGTCTTGTTTCTGTACAGCTTCCAGACAGACTGCCATTCATCTCCGGGTATCTGCTGCCACAAGAGCACCAATTGATTATAAATTTACCATACTATTAACTTTAAAATATACGTGTAAAATAGCGTGAACTATAATACCCTGTGAACTGATATTGCTGTCACTGATAAAAACAAAAACCAGCAGAAATAATGCAAAACCAGCTTTATTTAGAAATATAGTGGATGCACCTTGCAGAAACACTTCTCACTTCCTGTCTGGCTCATGGAATTTCTTTAACTGTGACAATCCACAAAAGACGTCTGGAAAAAAAAAAGACTCATTGCAGAAACTTTCTAGATCTTGGGTGTAGGCTTGGGCGGTATTACGGTTTACAATCAGTATTAAAAATAGCAACGGTGTCAGTTCCAGTAACAGGATTTATAGTATTTATTTATTTATTGTAGGAGACAAAGATAAAAATAGGTTAAAAAAAATGATAAATAAAGGTAATTTTATGTATAAAACGGATGTATGATTGCATTTTCAGCTTTACTTAGTTTAAAATGTTTTGTCCACATTTTAGAGACATTCCAAAAAGCGTATGAATGTGATATCATGCGACAACGTGAAGACGGCACACAGAGAGAAAAATGGCAGCTGGCGCACCAGCTCGCTTGGTGTTTAAAAAGAACTCAACTTCTGCAGTTTGGGAGTATTTCGGTTTCAAAGCAAATCTAAAAGAGAGCCGGTAAACACTGATGAGGTAATTTGTGCAAGCCTGCTGTTAAAAGAGACAACAACACACTTTTTAGGTAGATTTATGCAGCCAGCCTTCCCCGGTGTTGCGGCTAGCCCTAAAGTCGGTATGTCGGTGTCGCAAGCGGGTTTCGGTCCACAACGCCCTAGGTTGAAGCATGCAAAAGGTAAACCTGCTGATTTTTTGGGGCAAAAAAATGTTTCTAAGCTACGTTTTAAAATAAAGTTGTTAATATTATGTGTGTTATGTCGTTATTGTTTTAGTAATAGTGTATGTTATTCAGTTTCTGAATGGGGAAGGTTCCAAACAACAGTTTGTTATTTCCACTTGAGGCTTACATAATCATTTTTAAATTAGTCTCTGTAATATCGTACGCCGTGGTGAAATGTGGAGGAAACTAGAGTGTATTAAAATCTGGATACCTCTCAAGTCTACTTGGGAGCTCCGGATATGGATCCGAACCACACCGCAGCAGGTGTGAATGCTCTGATTGGACTCAATGCTTTTCATTTAGTCAATAAATAAAAAAATCTTCAATGATATCTAGAAAAAAAAGTATACTTCTTTATCAAAATTAGACCAGTTAATTTTTAGCCCAGTGAAATTTTACTGTTTTCTACTAGCTTTAAAAATGTTTTGTAACAACCGTCGACATAGAATTTTAATTTATGCAGAAGCTGTACGGGAATCGAATCGCATCTAATCCACATTCAGTGTGAAAGAGGCATCTAAACAAGGTCCATTGTAGCACGTTTCACTCATCTAAGACCATAGATTAGAAAACGTGTTTCTCTGTATAATAAAATTCTTACTTTGCTGCCCAAAGTATCACTTCTAGATGCAATTAAAAAAGAAACATGCAAAATGCAATCAAACAGTTACTTTTAAAGAAGTGTCCTAAATCTATAAAATCTAATCTAAATCTCAGCCCCTTATTCCCAATCTCTCCAGTCTTCCTCTTCACTAAATCACAATGGACCCGTGTTTGGTTAGAGTTGGTGTGATGGACACAGGTCACCAATTAATTCTGCCATCATCAAGCTTTTGTATGTGAACTTATTGAAACATGACTCATTTTTCAGTGTGCAGAACAGTCTGTCAAAGATAGAAGCCAGACCTGTAGCTAACCATCACTGCACAGATGTGGCTTCAACCCGAGAGCTTTTTATCTACAAGATGTGTAGCACCAACAGTTCGCCTCACCAGAGATGCTTCCTTCATAATGTGTTTGGGTGGTTTTAAGAACGTGTCGTCTTCCAGTGTGTGCATTAAATGCATTTATTTTCACAGCAGACTTTTATGTTTGTTGAGCACATCATTCAACGACGCTACTCCTCAGGGCTATAGTCTCACTGTAATTCATTGCGAGAGTTGGAAAGTCCTCTCCGTGCCTGTCCCTCTGCTCAGCTCTATGGAGTGCCTGGCGCTTCAGCTCCCTGGACCCACTCCCACCATCATTGCTGTTATTTACCGTCCCCCTAAACCACATCCTGACTTTCTATCCCAGTTTGCTTCACTCCTAGCCCATTTATCCACTCTGTCATCCAAAATAATGCTGCTGGGTGACTTCAATATTCACATGGACAATAACACGCTCCCCATCACTAAGGACTTTTCTTCATGTCTACATAGTCATGGATTTCACCAACACATCGATACTACGACCCACAATAAAGGACTCATCCTGGACTTAATCTGCTGCTCCGGGCTCATTCCTCTCAAATGCTCAGTTACTGATCTCCACATTTCTGACCACTTCTTTCTTTCATTTTCTCTCCAACTACCTGTTAGCCATACTAAGACATCACGTCTTAGTCATTTTAGGAAAATCAACGACATCAATCTAGACACTCTCTCTTCACATCTTTCAACTATTAACTTCACTGACAAACTCTCCTCTCCCGATGAACTGACTAACCACTACAAATCCAGCCTACAAAACATCCTTGACACCTTGGCTCCATTAAAAACCCGTACTGTCTGTTTTTCCACATCTGCCCCCTGGTTCACATCTAACCTCAGAACATTAAAAGCCAAAGGACGCCAGCTGGAGCGCATCTACAAGAGAACGGGCCTCTCTATACACAAAGACCTGTACATCGCCCACCTAGCCCGTTATAAGGATTCTATTTCTCATACCAAATCAGATTACTACTCCAGTCTCATCAACTATAACAACGGAAACTCCAAAACTCTTTTCTCAGTCCTCCATAAAATTTTCAATTCTCCCTCTATACTACCCCCTCACTTCTACTCCACTGACACCTGTAATAGCATCCTTTCCTTTTTTAACCATAAAATCATCCAAATCCACCAGAGTCCTAGCCCGGCTGACCCCCACGTACTTCCCCCTGACGATCTCACGTACTTTGAATCCTTCTCAGCTCCTGATGCCTCCTATATCTCGGATCTAATATGCAAATTCAAGCCCACCACCTGTCAGCTTGACCCACTCCCATCTTCCCTGGTTAAATCCTGCCTCTCATCCCTGTTACCCTTCATTTGCTCCATCATTCACGCCTCCCTCCGGACTGGAATCGTTCCCTCAGCCTTTAAAACTGCAGCTCTAACACCATTTCTCAAAAAGCCCGGCTCAGACCCCAACAATTTCAATAACCATCACTCCATCTCCAATTTACCATTTATCTCTAATAGGGTTGTCACGGTAACCGGTATAGCGGTAAACCCCGGTAAAAAAGTTGACAATAAAAATAACCGTCCAGTTTTTAAAAAACTATATTATCTCGGTGGGTTTACCGTGGCCGCGGTTTC